TTATTGGCATGTTCAACAAACAAAACAAAGCTATACTTTAGTCCACATTTTTTATTACTGGAATAATAAATCTTTTTCCATTGTATATGTATATTGTTGCGGAAATGACAACTGATTCATACCTTTCACTGTTGAAAGCTATAAGTACAAACCAAAATGGACTACCTTGTAAACTAGAAGTAAATAGCTAAAAGTTGAGCTATGCATCGCTATGAAATAAGTGTGATGCTACACATTATGATTAGTTGAAAACTGTTTGCCTTAAATACAGTAATTTAATTCTATGTGAGTAAAAGAAATTATTAGATAGGGTAGGAAATAATAGAAAATAATATTTTGCTTCTCCACAAGACCTTATGAAAGTTCGACAAATTTGCATCATAACCTTGTGCAGTCATGTGACCTGCTAGATTATAATTTATAGTCCTTTCTTGGCTTCAGTACACTTATATAGTATTTTAAACAAAACTTGACCATTATGCTTTAAGGTTTCCGTCAACAAAAGTGTATCTAGTAAATTTTGAATTTTCAATGTCATGCTCATGACAGTGCCCCTTTAAATTATCTCAAAAATGATTACCACACCTCATCTCTCTAATGTACATGAGAAATCAACATCAAAGTCTTCTTTACGATATCTGAACAGTATCCGTGAGACAGAAAAAATGAAGGGAAGTGCACTAGTTGAGTATTTTAGTCTTGAAACACTACCAAATTCTTCGTGGCAACACTTGTCTATGGTTTGCGTTTCCACAGCATGTCTTGTTCTCTCTTTTGCTCATATTGCCATAACTCTAGATGGGAGGAGGTGCTCTAACCTCTAAGGTTTTTGTGTTTTAATCCTGGACAAAGCACTAATTATTTTCACAGTGCCTCAGGGTGTCTACCCAGAAGAATAAATGGGTTACTATGTAGGAGAAAATTGTCAAGTGCAACATTCATGACTAAAATTCCGTGGGTAGAAAATATACCTCAATCAAGATTCATTTCCATATGTGGAAAGTGAAATCCCGAAGCTAAATATTTATCTTAGCTAGCAATTAAATAATAATTATTATTATCAACAATCATTAACTCGGGGGTTGAGCAAACTGGATAACAGCGTAACTGCCTGATGTCATCCAGTCCTTCCTGAAAGCCTCCAGGTGGGCATCCTGGCCAGGAGATAAGCCAACTTGAACATCTGCTTTGAGAGTCCTTAAAGAACACAGGGGTGCTGGTAAGAATCCCCAGAGAGCATCTTTGAAAGGAGTTGTGCGAGGCCACTTACGATCGCCAACCAACTTGCGATAATTCAGGTCACCTTTGAAAAATACTATTTTGGCTCCTGACAGCTCCTCATACAAATCAGGAGCAATGCTTTTCATTTCACTAAAATCTTGAGCCAGCGTCCAAAACTGGTGGCTTTGTAAGATGAAAGATCCATCTTGGAAGCGTTGAAACCAGTGATCACCTAGAAGAGATAAGCACTTGTTTGAAGAAGACCTCATCTCTTCAACCATCCAAAGTACATCCTTCTTGCTAGCATCAGAAACAAACCACGGGATTTCCTTTGTGTGAAGGTGAATTTCTTTTGCAAAATTTGCATGCAAGAGGAATTCAGCAAAGCACAAATCTGTAAAAAGTTCAAAGCCAGAGTTGTCTAACACAAAGTCAATCCTGATGTTTTTGGCATTATGAATCACATCCCAGACATCCTGGGAATTGTCAACAATAATGTTTTCTTTCATGTGTTGAAGATGTGAGGTATGGCCAGCTCCTTGATTTGTCAGGATTTCTCCACTTGAGATAGAGAGGTCACAACGGTTTCCCCACAAACAAAACTACAAGGAGAGATTAATGAGATCAATTAGCAGAATAAAGATAATTAAAGTGTTTCCAGTCAATAGCATATCACTACCTGGACATTATAGCCTGCAAGCAGGCTCACATGAGATGATCACATGCGAGAGCGGTATAATAATGATAATGATTATGATAATGATAATAACAACAATATTTACAGAGGATAACACCAAGTTAACACTAACGAGTTACATGAATTGGTGCCTCTTCCCTAGACTCCCCCCTCAAGATTGCTATGCTCACCAACTTGCGCTTCACCACTTGCATGTTTGACACAAAGGTCATCCAGCTTGCAGGCTTTAAACATTAGTTATATTATACCAATGGTTTAAACCAATTTTGCAGTAATATAGAGATTTTGTTGCTGTGGTTCACTTTCACCAAAAAATATTGAATTCGGTCATTTCATGTATTCTAAGTTGTTTTCCAGAAGAGGCATAAATAAGCACTTGACTAAAGCACACATGCAGGGCCATTGTAATGTGGTTTGTGTAAACTCCCAAAATGTGATTCTTTGATTTGGTGTAAAGATAAAAATTTCACACAATCTCTTCCTACCTGCAGCAAAGTGTCAAATATGCTCTTGACACTTTTACTGTTCCCGGCACTAAAATCTGAATATTTTACAGAATGATCAAGGAACAGTGCTAAGGAAATGGCAGACTCCTCAAGTCCTTTGAAAGATGCTTCCTTCTGTTCCTGGAAAGGATCAAAACTCTGATGGTGCTTGCTGAGAACAAAAGAGAATAATATTATGTTACAAACAAATAAAATTCCACAACCCTCTACTGTCCATGAGAAATCAACATCAAAATTATCTTTATAATATCAGAACATTACCCCTAAGACAAGATAAAAGTGACCCTAGGGTATTTTTGTCTTGGTGCAACAGCAAACTCTTCACTACATCTTACAACAACTGCGTTTACAATCAGTGAGGAATATTAAATAATAAATTACAATATTAAGAGAGGAAGCCACATCAGCCTTAACTGGTTGTCATGTGGGTTCTTTATCCAGGTTGAACAATGCTTTAATCCATACTGACCTCAAAGCCAGTGCTTCATAAATCTTGCGATACATGTAGCATTCAACAACAAGCCAGGCTCCAGTGAAGGATGCGACTTTGTTTTCATCAACCAATGACTTGCTGTTATTGATGGTGTCATTCCAGATCTGCACGTCTGGTCGATCATCTTCCACCAGCATCAATGGCTTATTGGTTTTCATCTCGTAACGTAATTTAGAGAGCTTTGCAATGACAATTTTACTATCCTCAGTTTGTTCCTAATGGAGTTATAAAATGGGATGCACATTAAAAAAATTTATACACAGCGGAATTGTCTTGGCACCATTTATAATATGCCGAGAAATAGAACATTCTTCTATGTCTTGATATTCAGGACTTGGTTTGTACTTCATCAGAGATTGGAAAGAGGGGAAAAAGAGATGTACATGTGTTTGATAGGCTGGAGCTTCAAATTCCTTGCCCATCAATTTAGTATCTGTTTTTGTTTTAAAAAAGATAGCCACTCTTGACAAGGGATATCCGCACAAAAATTAATAGTCTTAAAACAGTTGAAAAATTTGAACGGGAGAGTAAATTTAATTTGCTTTTACCATTGACACAGCCATGATGAACAGGCACGGATGCATACTGGTTTCCACCATTTTACGGAAATCAGTCAGATTTTTCAGAATGACTCAGAAACCTAGGAAAGGGGACTTAAGGGAGTTAAAATCCAAAACATTTCTTGTGGAGCATGGCCCCTGACCCCTCTGGAAGCTTGCACCATCAGTGTTCATTGTTTCGGAAATCAATCACCATTTATCCACCATTGATCCACGCCTGACGAAGAAGCTCTCTCAACCTTGCATTCATTTCTTACCTGTTGATTTTCCTCCAAGAATGCTGAAGCTCTTCGGTGCACCAAGTCAATGACTTTCGTCAGAATGACTGGCAGTCTATCTCGAATTGTTAGATAGGCAAACGACCTAAATGGTAAAATGAAAAAGTAAATCAAGATACTAAACCATAAATGCTCACAGGAAAGAAGCAACAGAAGCTAAATGAAAGTATACTGTAGGTCTTTATATGACCCATATATAACTGGGGCAGACACGGGATTTTAGAGAAGGGGGTTCAAGATACATACTGCCGAAGGCAGTCCCCTGTAGAGGGATCGGGGGGCATCCTCCTCTGGAGAATTTTTAAATTGAGGTCCTTGGAAATGGGATTTACAGCATTCTGATGCCAAGTCAGTATGTTATAATGTGTCATTTTTGTTTTAATTTAGGGGGTTCTGCCCCATATATGAGGCACTTGAATCTCCTAGCATGATTATCCCAGTAGAAAAGGACTCTTCATATGGTGCTTTTTTCACACTTGTCCTACTTTTGCAGCCTGATATGATTTGAATAACTTCAGGCGTATCAGTATGGTACCTTGTAGAGTGCAACACTTTAAATGGAAGCCACCATTCAGTCACAACCCTAGCCTGTGACTGGGCTCTCATGTGCTGCAGCTTGAGGGGCAAAGCTGGGAGAGGCAAGCCAGATCACTTCACTCACCAGTAAGTACTGATTAGCCTCTTAAGGTGATTCCCTAGTAAAAGAACTGCCATAGATTTCCAATGAAACTTGGTATGCTGTTGTTACAGGACAAGGAGATATTAAAAATGTATTAAAAAGAGGGGGTCACCGTGCTTGTTTTCATGCCACAATGCTCCCTCCAGATGTAGTATTATGTTATATATTGCCTCCCTCTGTAGTATTTATTTCATTTGCCAAAAGAGTAGCCATAGATTTCTGCTAATTTTTTTCTCAGTTATTGAGGATATTGTTCTCATTGAAATTATGAAATAAAAAGTGGCGGTCACCTTGCTCATTTAAGAGAAAAGGAGTATTTATTTCGCTATCAAGCTTAGTTTGAGGGAAATCTCTTACGTTTTGTACGCGCACGTGCTCGTGTGCACGTATTAATGACGTGAAAATCTTGCGCAGTAAGGATGCGCAATGCAAGACTAAGGAATCATGTTAATGTTTCACTGCTAGTGCTGCAAGGCATAAGAGCCTTCTCATGGGCTATGACCAACAAAGAAATGGATTCTGACCCCCTAATGGGTAGGTGAGAGGAGGGAGCCCTCCTATTGGTGCTTTTTCTACTGCAAAGTATTGCGTGATGTATAAAAAAATGTTCCCTATTTCTCTCAATTCCTGCCTCCTTTTCCATGTTCCACAGATTCGTAGTGTCTAACCATATTTGGATCTAGGTCACGTGATAGTGTATTGAGGTGTGTTGTACACCACTGACAGAATATAAATGCGTTTTGATTTCCTGAGATTCTTATCTTCACTTTGCATTGATCAACACTTCTAGACAAAATGCAACCGTAAATCTCCATGAATAAGGAGGGTATCAATGAACAAGCGTACAAAGCCTCTATTGAGCTGTGCCAATCCGTGCGTGACATTGACTGACTCAGATCATTGTACAAACGAGAAGAAACTTGGTACATAAGAATTCCAGGCCTAACAAACGTACCCTTCATCCTTTCCTGATAATGGTTCTGGTCTTTCTTCAACTGTAGACATGATTTATGGTTCTAATACGCCAAGGCCAAGCCGGTGTAATCACGCTAAAAAAAATTTCTTCGACAAAATAGGTCTGGGAACTAGTGTCAAAGACTAGTTCCCAGTCTATTTAGGGTGCTGGTATCCAACATGGCGGATGGAAGTGAACATGACAGGCAAATTAGATTTGTCATTTGCTCCACTGCGAAAGCATCCTGAATTCCTGGAAGAGACGGCGATTCTTTTAAATTCTCAATGGAAGAAGAGTCTTGCTGGGAGGTGAAAACTTTTTTTTGATATCTGTCATTGTGTTTGAATTATGACCACTCATGTCATTCTGTCAGTGCAATTGTTCAATGGAGATTGCTAATAAGACCTAATAATATATCAACATCCCCCCACCAGGCAACCCTAACGGGAAGTCTCACCGGGCAACTCCTCTGGGTATTTGATATTCTGAATTTTTAGATAATAATTATGATAAAAATTTTATTCCCCTGACCAAAACTGGTGGTCAGGCCATAATAGGCAATCAATAGCCCGGGAAATAAAATACAAAATGAATGCAAAAAGAAAAAAGAAAAAATACACAAGCGAACACCCACTTTGAACCTACTATGTCCCAGGTTAGTTTTATATATGTTCTAATTTAGGAAAAAAATCAAGTGCTTAATCATCACAAGCAAAACTTTGTGTTTACATTCAGTTGAGTTCAAACATACCACAAAACTTTTGAAGGCCCTGTTTTGAACCACAGTGCTTCAAAGAATTGTGGTTTCTAGTTAAGTTGTTCAAATCCCCCACCACCTGTGTTATGTGGTGTGAAATTTGCCACTACAATAACCATGTCAAATTCCTGCCTCCCGAGGGTCATCAACTTGTCGAATGCCTGGGTTATGCCTCATGGGGATGTTGATGTCACTGTTTGATAGATATATAATTCTGCTAATTTAATATGTTTATTAAATAAATGTGTTTCTTTACTTCAGATTTCAATACTTGGCTGAAGGTACTGATGACCTTCCCTGCTCACTCATACTCTTACAAAAAGATGACCAAGACCATACAAGAGTCATTGGTCACAGCAGACTTAACCAGGTTCTTGGAAAACCAGAGGCAGTGTTTTTGACATGTGGTGAGGATTGAAAAATAAGGGATTACTTTTGAGGTGGGAAGAAGGAGCAGGGGTGGTTTAGCAGGTTTTTTAGTCTTTGGCACAGTATAAAAGTCAATTCACTCCTGGGAGATGGTCAAAACTTGAACCTGAATGTGAGCCTGTAAAACTTTTTTGCCATTCTTACTGCTTGGAGGAACATAGAGGTACCTTGATTTAACACATGGACTGCTCTCCAAAACAAAAAGAGAACATCAGTAATGAACAATTAATTATAATAATAATCAAATATTTATCCAAGATAACCCTTCAGTACAAAGTACTGTTATCCATGGGGTCCTGCTGACTAAGAATTAAAAACCAATAAATAAGAATTATTGAGATATATAAAAGAAGATACATACTGTATTAAGGCAAAAATACGTTAAGTTAAATGTTGTTACAGTGCATTTACTGAAACCAGGGCCACCCAGACAATGAAAACCAATCAGATGGCAGAACTGAAACAATAGATTCCAACATTTTCAAATCCAGCCAATCAAATGTCCCATTTTCAATTCCAGCCAATCAAATGTCCCATTTTCAATTCCAGCCAATCAAATGTTCGATGCAAGATAATGACATCTCAACTTGTTTGTTTTGATGCTTATGCAATTGCGATGTTGCATAATAAATTGCCAAGCTCAAACCGTTAGTAGTTTTGCATGCTTGCGGGTTCAAGAAGAATTATATGCTACACTTTCTATGGGGTCGTTGGTTGGTTTAGAAAATAAATGGAAATAAAAGCTGCGTAAGAGTGTAACTTGTAAATATATATTGCCAACAAAGTGTGTTGTGTGAATATTGTTGCGGCTGTTTGAAAGAAACCCTTCAAATGGTCTCTGAGCAGTTTCAAATGAATGCAGGTTCAAAATGTATGAATTGGAAAGGGATTATTCTCGATGTAGCTGAAAGGAGCTGAAAGCAAACTTCAAGCAGGAGAATTGAAAAGTTAACCTGATACAAAAATGAATTCTTTGTTCGAAATATCTTCGATTTTTCCATCAAGGGGAGGTTCCTATGTGTCCGTCTTTTGTTTTTGCTTGAGTGATTTTACAAGCTGAGGCTTTGATAGTACAATGCAGAAAAAAGACTTGTTTGAATTTTTATGAAGATGTTATTGCAATACACTGATAACCCAGAAAGGGAGCTAAAACTCTGAAATGTGGAGCTCCTGAGACAGTAAACATGATGGTTTTTTCGAGAACGACGTGGTGGTTAACCGAAAGGTGTGTAAAAACAGAAACACGCACAGACAGCAGGAGCAGAATTTACTTTGTAAGAAATGTCAAAATCTATTATTCGACAATTTTAAACAACAACTGTAAAAAATATATTTTGTGTGGCCATATGTTCACAGCCAGAAAACAGTCAATGTAATGAGTTTATCATGCTTGTAAATGTAAAATCTAAAGTAAAGTAATACAATATTTTGTAACGCGAAAGTACTAATGGCTTGAGCTTGACAATTTATTAACAGACACCGTAGTTGCGTAAGCATCACAAAGAACAAGTTTAGATTTCATTGTTTTGTACCGGACATTTGATTGGGTGGATTTGAAAATGTTGGAATCTATTGTTTCAGTTCTGCCATCAGATTGGTTTTCATTGTCTGGGTTGCCCTGGTTTCAGTAAACGCACTGTAAAACTATAATAGAAATTACAAGTAATAATTGTCCAAGGTTTTCCTAAATAAAACTCTAGAATTAATGTTTCTTATACTTAAAGGTAACAAATTAAAACTTGAGGCACCTAAAAATTAAAAACTATGGCGCACAAAATCCAGTCTGACCTTTGGTTATTATTTTTCCCTTGCTCTGATCTAGGCTTAATAACTCGATAAAAACCAATATTTTGAATTCAAGTAATATGGAAGCTTGCAATCTACCCACAGATCTAGCCAGAGCAGTGAACTGAAGTGGCCTAGTAGCATATTTCTGACTACCCCCTATTTGTTTATAAATAAACTTATTCATTTTGGAATTCAACAGTTTAATGTCTCTGTAATCAAACAAGTAATTTTTTGGGGGCTTGCATCTCATTTGATAACTAATCCCAATATACAATTTCCGTATTCTCTGTATTGGACTGGGGATAGCTTGCAACTGAGGCTAATCTGGGGAGTCTTTTCAAATGCTTTTTAATGATATTCCTTCGCATGAGCCCCCATTGCAAGTTAGTTCCAATCCAATACCAAGAATACAAAAATGGCTTATTAATCCCACTTTTAATTGAACACTTCAGTCTATAAATTTGTAGTTGATTACAAAACCCAATTTAACTCAACCATTTTCATTTTTTTCTTGGCTAGTTCTTATAGAAAAGACACTCAGAGGACATGGCCTTGGAAAAAAGCTTATGCAGCTGACAGAAAAATATGCATCACAGTAAGTCATATACAGGCATTTTTTGACACCTGGCTGTTCAAATTTTGATTTAAAATGATCAGTTTTAATTCTGGTGTTTCAGGTTGGGATGCACGGCCATCTATCTCACAACTTTTGAAAAGTATGAGTTTTATAAACACCTTGGTTATCAATGCTGTTCTCAAGTCTCCTCAGTGAAAGCAAGATCAAGTCTATTTACCAGCTCCCAGGTATTGTACTGTAAACTTCAACAATTGAACCGGCATAATATTATGTTTTATTTGCCAGATAATGGTTCAATTTAGTGCCCTTCTTAGCTTAAGGGTGGATGCCTATTTGTGGGGGGTGCTTAGAGATGGAGCCAATTTGTTTTTCTGCATAAACATTGCAATGTGATTGATCTAGTACTTTTTGAAGTTTTTTTTTGTGGGGGTGTGGTTGCCTCATAGTTAGTATGCTTGACTCCGGATCAAGCGGTCTGGGTTCAAGACACTTTTCTCTCAGTGTCTTTCTCCACCCAGGTGTACAGATAAGTACTGGCAAATTTAATGCTGGGGGTAACCCTGCGATGCACTAGCATCCCATCCAGGGGGGGATATAAATATTCCTGGTTGCTTCAGGCTACAGAAATAGGGATAAGCTCTAAGTCTGAAGGAACACTTGGCTCATAATTTTTGAATGCCAATTTTTGTAAGTCTTGTTGCCTGTGACTTTGGGTCCTTTAATTATTATTTCTTTTTTACAGCTTGCACTATTGCAAGGGCAGTTTGGTGAGAGAGAACCTCAAATTGAAGAGCGAGAGGAAGGCAAATTTGTTGACTCTAGTTCTGGAAATTCTGTGATAAATAATCAAGAACTATCTGACGATACAATTGCTCGACAAGAGGGAAGATCAATTGTTCACAACCAAAAGATAAACACTGGTCTGAATGACCCTGATAAACAAGGAGAAATGTGTAACAACTCATCATTACTACTGGGAGAAGCCACTGCTTCTCCACTACCACCAACCCCACCTCCACCCCCACCCCCTCCTGCACTAAAACCTCCAACCAGTCAAATTAGATCAATTTTGACTAATCCAGTCTGGATGATGAAAGAAATGCAACATGACAACCACTGAGTTGTAAAAATTATGAAAATATATTGCACTATGTTAATAAATTGGGCAGGTCCCAATAAGGAAGTTAGACAGAAACTTATTTTGAGAGAGTTTCATCTTGGGTCTATATAGCAAAATTCGGACTACAGAGGAAACCAGTCAGGATGCCCCTTTTCATTGTCTGCTATTATAAGATAATGATTAATGAATATTTACAAACAAGAATTTTTAAGCTGTGGAATCGTGTGTAAAGCAACAAGAAAAGGAACACAGTTGTTACAAAAATCATAATAAAGTTTTGAATCCAGTTGCTGTTATTTCAATATTCAACCCCTTCACAGCTGAGTGTTTTATAAGTTTTGATGGCAATTTTTCTTTGATCAGTTAATAATTTCATTATATTGATTATATTGATAAGAATCGATTATATTGATCATGCTTTACTAGAAATTTTGTCCTTGCTGGAAATACAATGGCATAACACTAATTTTTCACGAATGAAAAAAAAAAGAAACAAACAATTGCATCTTCTTTTCTCCCATTCCTTACATTACGCTTGAGGGATTCTTGATTCTAGGTTGAAAGATTAACGATTAAAGACCCCGAGACGTCCCTGGCGCTGAATCACATCACCAGACCAGAGGTCACAAGAGACACTTGTTATAACACTGTAGGGCAAATTTTTCACAAAATGCGCTCAAATCTCGTTTAAACTCTCCAGGATGAGAAAAAATGACACCACTGAATGTTCAAGAATCTGTATTCAGTTAATTACCCTTACAGTGAACGAATTTAATGTCAACTCCTGATCTCTATACAAACTATTATATTTTATCCACAGTTCTCCATACAAACTCTTATATTACGCTTGGGTCACCTGTGACCGGATGTAGAAGATTGCGCAAGTTGGCGAGCACGCTTGGCACCCGCTCATGCACGCACGCATCGGTGAATCGATGAAAACATTTGCTGAGTTGTAGAGATGAGTTTTAAAACGTTTTTTAAAATAGAAATGTGTCATATTCCGCAATTTTTCCCTTCTATTTATGGAAGAACACGGGATGAATTGAAAGTAAACTTCAATTTCCCCACTGCAATCCTGCACGTAAACAGTTCATGACGTAACCTCTTGACGTCACATTAATTATTGACCCAGTTGGTGATTGGATTAATTTCCCTCCTTCTCGAAAGGTGATTGGCTAAGAACTTGATGAGAACCGGTTTTTCTGGTTTGACTGGTTAGGTGTGCCTCTACGTAACTCAAACGTTTGTTGCGTTGCTTCAGTGTTTGGGGTATCGTTCGTGTTGTGTGGAAGTAAGTGTCGTCGTTCTGTAATTTTATACTTACTTTTTCTCCCTATTCCCTCATCTAACGTAGGAAATTACTACAAAATCCTTCGTGGATAAGGGTTTCTCTGGCCCAGAAGTCATTACAGTTGATTTCTTCGCTTTAATTCAGGAGCGTCGTGTTTCAACGGGTATTGTTTACTCGTCCGTGCGTCTTGGTTGTGTAGTTTGGCCTTGCCGTGTTGCTACCAGTATTTTCATTTAAAAATTCGGATTGAAAGGAACTGCTTCTTTAAACGGGAAGTTTTAAGACCCATCACAAGACTGAAAGTGACAGCTTTACGAGAAAATTTTGGTCTAGATATAGGACTTCAGTTGGCCATTGTAAGCGTTGGCGAAACTTTATCCGTTGTAAAGTAGTTCGTGGGGATATAGTCCTAAACCTGTTTGCCTATTTTATTCGCGACTTAGCATGCACAGCCGTCCAAGTTTGAAGGCAAAACGTGGAAAACACTCATTTTACACAGATAAAGAACTCTGGTCCTTACTAACGACATCCTTGGAGAAGAAGAAAGCCAATAAAAGGAAAAGGGATCCAGACATGCTTCGGAACGCAGTGTTGGAACTAACAGTTCAAAGACTGAACGAAGAGATTACGGAGAGATGTATGAACAAAGCGAAACGTCGAAAACTAGAGGATTCGTATGAATGGCACGAGTCTCCGGATGGACTTGGATGGAACATGACCGCATCGTATCAAGATGACGATGATCTGTTAGGTATAGACGACTTCTTTCAGAAACTAAGTACTAGTTGTAGATCACGGAGTAGTGTTTCTGAATAGTGAGAGGATGTCGAAGTTACTGGAGACGACAACAGGCATCGAATCTGTAGGTTTCATATCAAGGAACTAGAATATTTGAATCATGTTCTCAGACCAGTGTGTTTGCTTAGTCTTTCAAGTCTGGATCCTTAGCAGTGCAAACTGATAAAATGCTGCATAATCTAGTAAGGAAAACAATTTTGCTGCGATATATTTATAATGGTACTTTTCTAGAAAAATTTCGTATGTTTGATATTTCAGAGAACTATTTTTATTGTAAATATTCTTATTTATTAGATAATTTGTAAATAAAGATGTATTTGAATAACACACTGGTGAAGAGGGCTTTAAATCTTTTAATCATGTGGTGATTGCTTTCACAGCAACAGGTTGAACTTATTTTCCTCAGCTGATGTTCTGGTTGTATCATCAATTGCCATAAAGTACATCTAAAGCACCTTCCAGAAGGTATTGATAACACAGTACACAAATTAGTTGCCCAGTTATGAAAAGAACTTTGAAAGATGATTTTATAAGAAGATACTCATTACAACATTATGTCAAAATCAGTATAGCCTGTAAATTTAGTTAATTATGCAATGAAAACCAAAGGCTCATTCCTAAGATTCCTGGAAGTGTTATGAACAAAGTTAGTAAATTTTGGCAGAGGAAAGGACAAAAACAATTGTAGTGACTTGCAAAGGCTTATCAGCCCAGTTTTGGCAGGTTAGCATATTGAATTTCAGTGATTTTAAATGCAAATCATTTCTTTTCAAGCCTGATGCGAGGTTGATGGCGACTGGTGGCTGCCACATCGCCAAAGGTGGAAGGATAATCAACAGATAGGATGAAGATGGCTGAAGTCAATCGGTAAATGCAAAGCATTTGCCTAGTAGTAAAATATGCTTGTGTTTGAATTACTTGAGAATGAGTTACTTTTGCTGCGGATAGATTCATGGAAGATTAAGTATTGTCTTTGCCAACTTTATAGTTCATCTGGACATCCTCAAGAGAAGCTTTCATCGGAGGATTAGTTCTTGAAGACAAGNGCATAATAAATTGCCAAGCTCAAACCGTTAGTAGTTTTGCGTGCTTGCGGGTTCAAGAAGAATTATATGCTACACTTTCTATGGGGTCGTTGGTTGGTTTAGAAAATAAATGGAAATAAAAGCTGCGTAAGAGTGTAACTTGTAAATATATATTGCCAACAAAGTGTGTTGTGTGAATATTGTTGCGGCTGTTTGAAAGAAACCCTTCAAATGGTCTCTGAGCAGTTTCAAATGAATGCAGGTTCAAAATGTATGAATTGGAAAGGGATTATTCTCGATGTAGCTGAAAGGAGCTGAAAGCAAACTTCAAGCAGGAGAATTGAAAAGTTAACCTGATACAAAAATGAATTCTTTGTTCGAAATATCTTCGATTTTTCCATCAAGGGGAGGTTCCTATGTGTCCGTCTTTTGTTTTTGCTTGAGTGATTTTACAAGCTGAGGCTTTGATAGTACAATGCAGAAAAAAGACTTGTTTGAATTTTTATGAAGATGTTATTGCAATACACTGATAACCCAGAAAGGGAGCTAAAACTCTGAAATGTGGAGCTCCTGAGACAGTAAACATGATGGTTTTTTCGAGAACGACGTGGTGGTTAACCGAAAGGTGTGTAAAAACAGAAACACGCACAGACAGCAGGAGCAGAATTTACTTTGTAAGAAATGTCAAAATCTATTATTCGACAATTTTAAACAACAACTGTAAAAAATATATTTTGTGTGGCCATATGTTCACAGCCAGAAAACAGTCAATGTAATGAGTTTATCATGCTTGTAAATGTAAAATCTAAAGTAAAGTAATACAATATTTTGTAACGCGAAAGTACTAATGGCTTGAGCTTGACAATTTATTAACAGACACCGTAGTTGCGTAAGCATCACAAAGAACAAGTTTAGATTTCATTGTTTTGTACCGGACATTTGATTGGGTGGATTTGAAAATGTTGGAATCTATTGTTTCAGTTCTGCCATCAGATTGGTTTTCATTGTCTGGGTTGCCCTGGTTTCAGTAAACGCACTGTAAAACTATAATAGAAATTACAAGTAATAATTGTCCAAGGTTTTCCTAAATAAAACTCTAGAATTAATGTTTCTTATACTTAAAGGTAACAAATTAAAACTTGAGGCACCTAAAAATTAAAAACTATGGCGCACAAAATCCAGTCTGACCTTTGGTTATTATTTTTCCCTTGCTCTGATCTAGGCTTAATAACTCGATAAAAACCAATATTTTGAATTCAAGTAATATGGAAGCTTGCAATCTACCCACAGATCTAGCCAGAGCAGTGAACTGAAGTGGCCTAGTAGCATATTTCTGACTACCCCCTATTTGTTTATAAATAAACTTATTCATTTTGGAATTCAACAGTTTAATGTCTCTGTAATCAAACAAGTAATTTTTTGGGGGCTTGCATCTCATTTGATAACTAATCCCAATATACAATTTCCGTATTCTCTGTATTGGACTGGGGATAGCTTGCAACTGAGGCTAATCTGGGGAGTCTTTTCAAATGCTTTTTAATGATATTCCTTCGCATGAGCCCCCATTGCAAGTTAGTTCCAATCCAATACCAAGAATACAAAAATGGCTTATTAATCCCACTTTTAATTGAACACTTCAGTCTATAAATTTGTAGTTGATTACAAAACCCAATTTAACTCAACCATTTTCATTTTTTTCTTGGCTAGTTCTTATAGAAAAGACACTCAGAGGACATGGCCTTGGAAAAAAGCTTATGCAGCTGACAGAAAAATATGCATCACAGTAAGTCATATACAGGCATTTTTTGACACCTGGCTGTTCAAATTTTGATTTAAAATGATCAGTTTTAATTCTGGTGTTTCAGGTTGGGATGCACGGCCATCTATCTCACAACTTTTGAAAAGTATGAGTTTTATAAACACCTTGGTTATCAATGCTGTTCTCAAGTCTCCTCAGTGAAAGCAAGATCAAGTCTATTTACCAGCTCCCAGGTATTGTACTGTAAACTTCAACAATTGAACCGGCATAATATTATGTTTTATTTGCCAGATAATGGTTCAATTTAGTGCCCTTCTTAGCTTAAGGGTGGATGCCTATTTGTGGGGGGTGCTTAGAGATGGAGCCAATTTGTTTTTCTGCATAAACATTGCAATGTGATTGATCTAGTACTTTTTGAAGTTTTTTTTTGTGGGGGTGTGGTTGCCTCATAGTTAGTATGCTTGACTCCGGATCAAGCGGTCTGGGTTCAAGACACTTTTCTCTCAGTGTCTTTCTCCACCCAGGTGTACAGATAAGTACTGGCAAATTTAATGCTGGGGGTAACCCTGCGATGCACTAGCATCCCATCCAGGGGGGGATATAAATATTCCTGGTTGCTTCAGGCTACAGAAATAGGGATAAGCTCTAAGTCTGAAGGAACACTTGGCTCATAATTTTTGAATGCCAATTTTTGTAAGTCTTGTTGCCTGTGACTTTGGGTCCTTTAATTATTATTTCTTTTTTACAGCTTGCACTATTGCAAGGGCAGTTTGGTGAGAGAGAACCTCAAATTGAAGAGCGAGAGGAAGGCAAATTTGTTGACTCTAGTTCTGGAAATTCTGTGATAAATAATCAAGAACTATCTGACGATACAATTGCTCGACAAGAGGGAAGATCAATTGTTCACAACCAAAAGATAAACACTGGTCTGAATGACCCTGATAAACAAGGAGAAATGTGTAACAACTCATCATTACTACTGGGAGAAGCCACTGCTTCTCCACTACCACCAACCCCACCTCCACCCCCACCCCCTCCTGCACTAAAACCTCCAACCAGTCAAATTAGATCAATTTTGACTAATCCAGTCTGGATGATGAAAGAAATGCAACATGACAACCACTGAGTTGTAAAAATTATGAAAATATATTGCACTATGTTAATAAATTGGGCAGGTCCCAATAAGGAAGTTAGACAGAAACTTATTTTGAGAGAGTTTCATCTTGGGTCTATATAGCAAAATTCGGACTACAGAGGAAACCAGTCAGGATGCCCCTTTTCATTGTCTGCTATTATAAGATAATGATTAATGAATATTTACAAACAAGAATTTTTAAGCTGTGGAATCGTGTGTAAAGCAACAAGAAAAGGAACACAGTTGTTACAAAAATCATAATAAAGTTTTGAATCCAGTTGCTGTTATTTCAATATTCAACCCCTTCACAGCTGAGTGTTTTATAAGTTTTGATGGCAATTTTTCTTTGATCAGTTAATAATTTCATTATATTGATTATATTGATAAGAATCGATTATATTGATCATGCTTTACTAGAAATTTTGTCCTTGCTGGAAATACAATGGCATAACACTAATTTTTCACGAATGAAAAAAAAAAGAAACAAACAATTGCATCTTCTTTTCTCCCATTCCTTACATTACGCTTGAGGGATTCTTGATTCTAGGTTGAAAGATTAACGATTAAAGACCCCGAGACGTCCCTGGCGCTGAATCACATCACCAGACCAGAGGTCACAAGAGACACTTGTTATAACACTGTAGGGCAAATTTTTCACAAAATGCGCTCAAATCTCGTTTAAACTCTCCAGGATGAGAAAAAATGACACCACTGAATGTTCAAGAATCTGTATTCAGTTAATTACCCTTACAGTGAACGAATTTAATGTCAACTCCTGATCTCTATACAAACTATTATATTTTATCCACAGTTCTTCATACAAACTCTTATATTACGCTTGGGTCACCTGTGACCGGATGTAGAAGATTGCGCAAGTTGGCGAGCACGCTTGGCACCCGCTCATGCACGCACGCATCGGTGAATCGATGAAAACATTTGCTGAGTTGTAGAGATGAGTTTTAAAACGTTTTTTAAAATAGAAATGTGTCATATTCCGCAATTTTTCCCTTCTATTTATGGAAGAACACGGGATGAATTGAAAGTAAACTTCAATTTCCCCACTGCAATCCTGCACGTAAACAGTTCATGACGTAACCTCTTGACGTCACATTAATTATTGACCCAGTTGGTGATTGGATTAATTTCCCTCCTTCTCGAAAGGTGATTGGCTAAGAACTTGATGAGAACCGGTTTTTCTGGTTTGACTGGTTAGGTGTGCCTCTACGTAACTCAAACGTTTGTTGCGTTGCTTCAGTGTTTGGGGTATCGTTCGTGTTGTGTGGAAGTAAGTGTCGTCGTTCTGTAATTTTATACTTACTTTTTCTCCCTATTCCCTCATCTAACGTAGGAAATTACTACAAAATCCTTCGTGGATAAGGGTTTCTCTGGCCCAGAAGTCATTACAGTTGATTTCTTCGCTTTAATTCAGGAGCGTCGTGTTTCAACGGGTATTGTTTACTCGTCCGTGCGTCTTGGTTGTGTAGTTTGGCCTTGCCGTGTTGCTACCAGTATTTTCATTTAAAAATTCGGATTGAAAGGAACTGCTTCTTTAAACGGGAAGTTTTAAGACCCATCACAAGACTGAAAGTGACAGCTTTACGAGAAAATTTTGGTCTAGATATAGGACTTCAGTTGGCCATTGTAAGCGTTGGCGAAACTTTATCCGTTGTAAAGTAGTTCGTGGGGATATAGTCCTAAACCTGTTTGCCTATTTTATTCGCGACTTAGCATGCACAGCCGTCCAAGTTTGAAGGCAAAACGTGGAAAACACTCATTTTACACAGATAAAGAACTCTGGTCCTTACTAACGACATCCTTGGAGAAGAAGAAAGCCAATAAAAGGAAAAGGGATCCAGACATGCTTCGGAACGCAGTGTTGGAACTAACAGTTCAAAGACTGAACGAAGAGATTACGGAGAGATGTATGAACAAAGCGAAACGTCGAAAACTAGAGGATTCGTATGAATGGCACGAGTCTCCGGATGGACTTGGATGGAACATGACCGCATCGTATCAAGATGACGATGATCTGTTAGGTATAGACGACTTCTTTCAGAAACTAAGTACTAGTTGTAGATCACGGAGTAGTGTTTCTGAATAGTGAGAGGATGTCGAAGTTACTGGAGACGACAACAGGCATCGAATCTGTAGGTTTCATATCAAGGAACTAGAATATTTGAATCATGTTCTCAGACCAGTGTGTTTGCTTAGTCTTTCAAGTCTGGATCCTTAGCAGTGCAAACTGATAAAATGCTGCATAATCTAGTAAGGAAAACAATTTTGCTGCGATATATTTATAATGGTACTTTTCTAGAAAAATTTCGTATGTTTGATATTTCAGAGAACTATTTTTATTGTAAATATTCTTATTTATTAGATAATTTGTAAATAAAGATGTATTTGAATAACACACTGGTGAAGAGGGCTTTAAATCTTTTAATCATGTGGTGATTGCTTTCACAGCAACAGGTTGAACTTATTTTCCTCAGCTGATGTTCTGGTTGTATCATCAATTGCCATAAAGTACATCTAAAGCACCTTCCAGAAGGTATTGATAACACAGTACACAAATTAGTTGCCCAGTTATGAAAAGAACTTTGAAAGATGATTTTATAAGAAGATACTCATTACAACATTATGTCAAAATCAGTATAGCCTGTAAATTTAGTTAATTATGCAATGAAAACCAAAGGCTCATTCCTAAGATTCCTGGAAGTGTTATGAACAAAGTTAGTAAATTTTGGCAGAGGAAAGGACAAAAACAATTGTAGTGACTTGCAAAGGCTTATCAGCCCAGTTTTGGCAGGTTAGCATATTGAATTTCAGTGATTTTAAATGCAAATCATTTCTTTTCAAGCCTGATGCGAGGTTGATGGCGACTGGTGGCTGCCACATCGCCAAAGGTGGAAGGATAATCAACAGATAGGATGAAGATGGCTGAAGTCAATCGGTAAATGCAAAGCATTTGCCTAGTAGTAAAATATGCTTGTGTTTGAATTACTTGAGAATGAGTTACTTTTGCTGCGGATAGATTCATGGAAGATTAAGTATTGTCTTTGCCAACTTTATAGTTCATCTGGACATCCTCAAGAGAAGCTTTCATCGGAGGATTAGTTCTTGAAGACAAGCATAAAGGCCAGCCATAAGGCTTGTTATATAGTTATTAGAAGTAGTTATGCATAGATTTAATTTGTAGAAAGTCACTTAAATAAAAAATAAAGAAATAATAGTTGGGTGGGAGTAAGTGCTCAGTCCATGTGGGTCTAAAATTAATAATCAGTAATGTTTCACTTTGACACTGCTGCATATATGCCTAGGATGTTTGTAGTTATGTTAGGTTTTTGCAACATTGTTCCTTTGATTTGATCAAAAGCACTAAGAAGGAAACTACCAAGCAAGTAAAATTCAAGTCACTTGGCCTTGCAAGAGATAAAGGCAAGCATGTTATTCACTACCATAGAGATAACACTGATAGCTTTTTGAGCAATGGTGAAAAGAAGTGGAAATTATGCGTGCAATATCATGCTGTCAAACGGTGACCAAGAGAGTACTAGAAGTAGTGGTTTCACAAGCTAGGAACTGTGCATAAGAAATTCGAGTAACTGCGGTATGTGGAGAAATCTTGACCATTTGTTTTTGTGATCAACTTCCAGATGTCTTTCTTTGATTACATTTTGGAGGATATGGTATACAAAATATTTTGCAGGTATTAATATTGTCCTTACACAAGCAACGTAAGCAACTGGAAGTGGATCACAGGTATTCGAGCCACTTGTGAGCAGTGAGACCTGCTGATGTCTTTATCAATCAATCGCTAGTTAGAATCATATAACTAAGAGCTGGATTGTAGCTCTCTGTCATAATTTAGCGTTGGATAGGGTTGTATGTGTTGTTTCTTTACCATTATGCAGTCAAAGTAGACTTGCAGTCCAAGCCAGAGGGCAAAATGATCCAAGTGGATCTTGAGGAATAGCTAGAGGCCATTGGCAATCTTAAGGAAGCTGGAAACAAGTGATGTAAGCTGATATCTCTTCCAAGTGCAGCATTTTGTAGAGTTATGCTCAGTCTTAAATTTGACTAACGTAGGATAAAAGAAACTTCTGCAACGTGTATTGGTTGCTATTAAAGTGTTTCAGCTATGGAACTTCAGTCATCCTGGAATGAAGCATCACAGCCGTGAGTGTTTTATCTGGTTTCAAGTTATAATAAAGTGTCCTAAGATTGCATCATTCATCTGACTACTAGACTGGGCATACTTTCTTTTGCATCATGGTTTTTGACTCCCAAGAGCATCTGGTAGTGTTCTTTGCCTGCACTCTGCTCGGCTAGTCATAGTATGATTGTTATTTCATCATGGTAATGGTAGTGAGAAGTATCTCGACTTTACGACATTGACAGCCAGTTTGAAATGTTAAGTTGATTTGAGGCATAAAATATCACGAAATACCCCTCTCATCAAGACCATGCACAAGTTGGGTGACTGCAACTTTGTTACAAGTGAAATGACTGTTAAGAAATAACCTGCTAAAAGAGAGCACAATGTCATCAAAAGCAAGCAAGTGGCCAGTCCATTTAGAGGTGTTACTGGGTGAATTTCTTCTTCTGTTGGCCAAACCAAAAAAATAATGTTAATTGTAATACATATAAGGTGTGGTAGGGTTCTTTCTTTTTTAAAAGCAGGTTAAGGATCTCAAACTATTGGGTTGGATGTCAACTAAACGGATTTGCAGGTTGTGAGAAATCTAATAATACCATCTTTGACAGACTGAAATCTACACAAGGCTCAATTCTTGTACACTGAAATGGCAAGTTCCTTTGTCTTTAAGTTTGGAGTTTCCTAAAACTTGTAGTTATCTGCATGGACATGTAGTGTTTCCCAAAGTGTGCATGATCTGAAGCTTTTTCAGTTTGTGGAGCAAGGAGGCCTTGCAGGAATGAGGGTAAAGAATTCTTGCCTATGCGAATTCTTCAGCAACTCGGATGATAGCAGTACCTTTATGCCATTGGCTAATGCTTACTGTGAAGGTAAAATACGCGTAGTAAAAGCTCCTAATTGGATTTAAGTGTGATTTGATTAGACTGGTATTTGGTTTGGGGTTTTTGTGCTACTTTTGCCCTTGCAGGGTGACAGTGTAAACAAGAAAATCCAGCAATCAGATCGAGCAACAGCACTTATTCACTGAAATGGCTAGTGAGTGTTAGTGTGTTGAAGCGCAAGTCCTGCTAAAAGTGTGCATGTTCTGAAGTTTCTTGAGTTTGTGCAGCAGCGCAGAAGTGAGGGTAAAGAATGATTGCCTGCATGACCAGGTGACTCCAATATTTGCGGTTCTGGCCACTCACCCTAAGTTAACCATGAAGGTGAAATATGCATATTGACAGCTCTTGATTGGATTAAAATCTGATTTCATTTGGACGTATTTGGTTTGGCGTGTGTGTGCTACTTTTGCCCTTGCAGTATGTGGCAGTTCAAGCAAGTGATAGTGTAGGAATGACGATGAAGACCCCTCTGTTATAGAAGTCTCTGAAACAATTGTGTAAATTTCAAATTCCTCCATGTGGCCCTATTGTGACTGACTTGAAACCTTCGAAAGTGTGAATCTTCCTTCGTTTACCACAAGCACCCTTGGCTGTTTTCTCCGACCCATTGCATTATATTGGACTGAAAGGTACAACTTCCTTGAGCTTGTTTTGGAAAAAGTATGTGTGGGTGTGTTGTTACGAATTTATTTCAGAGAAGTAATGTGGAAAGTCCAGGAATTGGGCGGTGTCGAAGAAGAAAATCTTTATCCTGTGATGTTCACAAGCTGATACTGGATCCCCAACCGAAATCCCAAAGTTGAAATTCCTGTACAAAGATTTCCTTTCTTGGCAAGCGCTAAAACTTTTACCAGTTTGTTCAGATCAGTCATCGGGAGTTCCCCCAAGGTAACTGCTGTCTACCTGAATGGCATAGAATAAATTTGACCTAGGCCTTGAGTGTGTAGCTTTTTCACCAGAGTTGTATGTTAGCATAGTGAACACACTAAAGGATGATTGGATTTCTTGTGGCTTGTATATACAGCTGAAGCAATCAAGCAGAAAATTTGTACGTACTTCCACCGAAGTAAAGCTTAATTCAGTTACCACAGACAATCTGGCTCACTGCAGAATACCCTTGTGAACTAGTGCATGGTATTTCAAAATCACAGTTGCTGGTTATGTCCATTCGTCAGTTTTGTTAAGCCTGAACAATAGTTTAGGACTGTTTGGTTTCGAAATGTGTGTGAAGCTTTTTCAACAGATCTGCGTTTCTGCTGGAATTTTGACAAGTTCAACCTTGGCCTTTTCTGCCTGCTCCTACATTATTCCTCTTGATCCCACAAGAGCCAAGTAACACCACTGCAGCTTTTCCAGTGTTTGTTTTGCAACCTAAAAAACATTCTGTTCCAATCTATTGTTGCCAAAGAAGCAGTAATCAGCACCAGAAAGAAATCCAAAAAAGATTCCACCTGAAAGAGAAAATATCCAGTATGAAGTACAGGTTTTGTCCTTGTCAATTAAAGATGTGCGCATGAAGAATTAATAGAAGGCAGGTTTGGAAGTACATTTAGGACTGTGACCGACACCTAACAAGTTGAATGCATCCACCCAAAGTTGTCAATTTATGGAGAATGGTACAAGTTGACCAGAATAAAAGTGATAGCTCAGGCAAGTTAGGACTGCAGTCATTTTGGCACTTAAGAAAGTTTGTTCCAAGTTGTGTGGGTTTTGATCTGTCTGTGTGTTCACAAGATTATCCTGTTAGAAGTAATATTTGGTAGTGGTGTATTTGCTTAGAATTTGTCTACTAGGTACATGTGTTGCGAGAAGTTTTTTTCAGGAATGTACCTTGAGTCAACACCAACTTTTCAGGGCCATTGAGTACTAATTCAAGAAAATTATCAGTGGGGGCCACTCCAAAGCAGTATTCTCAGCATGTTTAAAGATGCCTTTCAAGTGCAGAAGAAAGCAGAAAGTAGTAAGCAGTCCAAAAGTATGAACTTAGCACCAAGTAGTGCAAGTGTTTTTGTTGTCGGTCAGTTGTTGCTGTGTGCGGCCAGTGTATTGGAATCTAATGACCGGATATCCTGTCTTGCAAAAAAGCAATTCTAGCTATTCCCAAGTGGTAAGCCGTGCAAAGCAGTAGTGTACTTCATGGAAAAGCTAATGGGTTGGGACAAGCACAATCTTCCAAGTTCCTTAGAAATGGAAAAATTAAGAGCAACTGATGTGGTATCAATTTAATCTCTTGTGCATTTAAAAGTGGTACTGTCAGTACAGTGTTTTGTGTTTTTCCTGTCATCTGCAAATATATCCTTGTTTTGTCTGGAGAACACATGCTTTTAAAAGTTTTTTTCAGGAAATTGTGTTCAGGAAACAACTGATTTTGCGGTATGGTAGTGTCACATTCTGAAAATATTCAAGCAAGATTATTTATCAAGCATCCTTCCTTGAGCCACTTTCTCAGAATCTGTCTAAATACAACAAGTTCCAAGGTCATCTGTTGTTAAATTAAAGGTTCAAGTCATTAAAAGGAAAAAAGCCAGCCCCTCTTCTTCCCTGTAGAGTTAAACTGTTAACCACATTTCCAGTACTAAAGCAGTATGGGTATTTGAATCATCAACCTGTGGCCAGTATTTTGCTGAATAAACATCGGTTAGACTGTCCAAGCAATGGTTTGGTTCCAAGTTGGCATGTGTCACTTCTCCAAATTCCTACTTAAGGTTTTCTAGATCTCATTCTGTACCATCTGTGGTTAAGTTGGTTGGGACAAGAAAAGTTTTGTTTTCCTCTTTGGAAAGTCTTACAAAAATTGGCAGCAGTACAGATCATCTGATGAGGCAGGGTAGTGAGTACTAATCATCAATGCAAGGGTTTCCCAGAGGTGCATTGTCAGCAAGTGAGTCAAACTTTACTGTGATGTTTTTTGATGGAAATTGTCATATTTTATTGTTCATTGTTTCGTCAGAATTTTGTAAGTCTTCTCGTGTATAGAAAATGCATGTGGTTTTCTTAGAAGTCTTTTTCAGGAATTAAATTTGGTGTGCTCAACAGCAGTTTCTCCATTTCGTGCTAAATTGCAAGTAAGATTCAGTAGTGGCCATCTTTCCATCTAGCAGCTTTCTCAACATCTGGCTAGGAACCCAAAATGTGCAGAGTAGCTACTCAGAAGTCCATCCTAAGTAAGCTTATCTGTGCCCTAAAAGAGAAATAGCTCCAGCAGTGTGCAGTGTGGGTTTTGTGTCCTTTGTTGCTTGTGTAGACCTCTGGCCTGGGTGCACTTGAGGGGAAGTGAGTGAAGATAACCAGCTGACTGAACATAGATTGGGTCCAAGTAGATGCATACTAGAATCTTTCCACAAATGGAACTCTGCCAGAAGTCACAACTTCGTCAGAAATAGCACAAGTTAGCAAAATCTCAGTGTGTAGCCTTGGTCAAGTTGTTTGGGACAAGCACAATCATGCAGTACTTCTATTGGCGAGGCTCGGATTCCCCGTGAGTGTATTGATTGCCTGTTAGTTAAGAATTTTTTCCAAGAATTTTGAGATTAGAAATTTTCTATGGTGTTAATTTTTTGAAGTGTCAATCTACATATTTTCTCGTAGTGCATAGAGAATGTGTTGTTTTATCAGTTTTTTCAGGGACTAAAATTTGGTGAGCTCAACAGAAGTTTCTTGATATCGTGCCAAATTTCAAGTAAGATTCAGTAGTGGCTGTCTTTTCTCAACATCTGGCTAGGAGCCCTGTGTGTCCAATGTTAGCTATCCAGAAAGTCCAGCCTACGTAAGCTTCTCCACGTCCTAAAGAGAAATAGCTTCAGCAGTGTGCAGTACATGTCCTTTGTTGCTTGTTTAGACCTCTGGCCTGGGTACACTTGAGGGGAAGTAAATGAAGACAACTAGCTGACTGAATGTAGATTGGGTCCTAGCAGATGCATACCAGAATCTTTCCATTAGTGGAACTCCATCAGAAGTCACAACTTTGTCAGAAATAGGGCAAGTTAGCAAAATTTCAGTATGTAGCCTTGGTCAAGTTGTTTGGGACAAGCATAATCATGCAGTACTTCTATTGGCAAAGCTCAGATCCCCCATGAGGGTAATGATTGCCTGTCAGTTAAGTTTATCCAAGAATTTTTTGAGATTAGAAATTTTCTGTGGTGTTAATTTTTTGAAGTGTCAATCTACGTGTTTTCTTGTAGTGCATAGAGAATGTGTGTGTTTTTACAAGTCTTTTTCAGGGACGTAAATTTGGTGAGCACAACAGAAGTTTATCCATATCACACTAAATTACAAGTAAGATTCAGTAGTGGCCATCTTTCCATTGAGGAACTTTCACAACCTCTGGCTAGGAACCCTGTGTGTCCAAAGGTAGCCATCCAGAAAGTGCAGCCTAAGTAAGCTGCTCCACACCCTAAAGAGAATAGCTTCAGCAGTGTGGGTTTTGTGTCCTTTATTGCTTGTGGACCTGTGGCCTGTGTTTACTTGAGTGGAATTGGGTGAAGATAACCGACTGACTAATCATAAGTTTTAGTCCAAGAAGATGTGTACAAGAATCTTTCCATTAGCAGAAGTCCATCAAGTTTCGGTCAGTAATGGTACAAGTTAGCGAAATCTCGGTATATAGCCTTGGAAGGTCATTTGGCATGCAGTACTTCAATTGGCAAAGCTGAAATCCCCTGGTAAGGGTAATGATGGCCTATCAATTCATATTTGCAAGATATCCTTGAATTCTAAAAGATTATAATTTTTTATAACAGTAAATTGTGTCACTCCTCTTGTTTCCTCATAGTGTTGAGAAAATGTATGTGGTTTTCAGAGTCTTTTTCAGGAAGGTTACACCGGTAATCTCGTGGGCGATTTTTAGGGATCTAATTATGCTGAATTTCACATCAGACTCAGCTGTGACCATCCTTTCCTTGAGCAGTCCAAATTGTCAAAAGTGGTCATAATTTGCAATTCCAGAAAGTCCATCTCCTAAAGGAATCCAAAAGAAGTTCTCCACTCCCCAGATGGTAACCATTTTCCATTGTGCAGTGTGGGTTGTGTTTTTCTTATCCATATGTGTTGCTCGTGGTCTACTTTCATGGAAATTTGTGGAAAAAAACATCATCTGGTCAAGTATCAGTTTAGGTCGAAATAGATGCTCATGTCAAGAATCCTTCCAGGCAAGTGGACCTTCACCAATGGTCAAGACTTGTCTAAACCCTTTCACAAGTTAGCCAAACCTTAGCTTGTAGCCTTGGTTTAATTGGTTGTCAGAGGCATAATCATGCAACACTATCCAAGAAGTCAGTGATTGCTAGTGAGTCTTGAAAGTGGTATTTTTAAATGTTAGATTTTCTGTAGTGCCTAGGAAATATGTGGTGTTTGGAAAGTCTTTTTCAGGAAGGTAAATACAGTGATCCCAATGGTGATTTCTCAGGATTCATATGGTGATAAATTTCGAGTAGGATTCAGTGGTGGATATCCCCTTGTCTGGAACTTCCTCTTCAACCGTGTCAAATCCCAGATTATTCAAGTACTGTTGCCAAAGTAGCTGTTGTTTGCGTAGCAGAAACCTCTGGCCCAGTAAGCAGTTCAAAAGAGCCTTTTTACTTCTTTAGAGCATCTAGTTCTACTTGCCCAGTTCTACTTGTAGATGTTTCTCCTATGTGTTAGTGGAAATGAAGATAAAAATGATATGAGTTCAGTTCTTCATTAATCATGGCAATTTCCTAAGAGAGCCTGAGTCTCTGTGGTCAAGTTGGACGCAACAAGCGCAGTCATCCAGAACTTTGTAAAACATTCTAAAAGCTCAAAACATTCAAAGCTGGAATTGATCATCAATCAGTTTGTATAAATTTGACAAGCATTACCAAGTCATTTGTTGGTGAGGTCAATTTGTTATTTTGTTGTGGACATTGTCCTTTTATTGAAGTTATTACTCTACTCCTTTATGGTAGCATGAAATTAAATTGTCTAAAAAAGAAAATTTGTAGGTTTTGTGCATGTGGTTTTGAAGCAGTCTTTTCCAGGAACACAGATGCGGTGAATCAAGTTTGCTTTGCGCTTAATTTCAAGTGAGGCTCTGAAACAGCCATCCTCCCTGCCCTGGCATTTTTCCAGCAACCCAAGGTGTTCAAGTTCATTGTGTTCAAAGAAGCAGTAAGCTGAAAAGTGGGAAAGTTCTGGCTCTGCCCAGTAAGCATTCTAAAAAAGTCTCTTAACCAGCCATGTGGTGTGGGTTTTGTGTCATTTGTCACTTAAAAGACTTGTGGTGTACTCATTACTTTGTGGAAAAAGTAACCTTCATCTGTTTACAAACAGTTGGTTTTGGTACAAGCAAAGCATCTTTCAGTTCCAAAGTTGGACTGCCTGAAGTTGTGATTTTTGCAGATTTCCACAAACAAGTTCAGCAAATCTTGAGCATTAGCATTTGTCAAGTTAGCATAATTCAAAATATTTCGTAAAATGCAGAACATTTCCGATGTGGAAAAAAGTTCAACAAGTTTGCATCTTGCACGCTGCAGTTAAGGTCAGTTATATTCTAAGCAGTGAATCCTAACAGGACACTCTCAGTGACGTGAATTTGAATGTTCAGATGTATTGTGATCTTTTGTTTGCCCTAAGTATATGAAGTAGATGGGGTGCTGTAAGAACTGTAAGTTTGTTGTCAAACATTTGCTATAAGCATTTAAATATAATAACATTGCTATCTTCATAAATGACTGAAGTGGTATCATTGGTTAAATGTTAAATTTCTAGGCTATTGTTGAAATCAAGGCTACAAAACAGCCATTCAACCTAATTGTCCTTCACTAATTAGAATTATTGATAAATATTTTTAAAGTTCTGTTGAGTTGTCAAAACCAGTGCTTATTTTATTAGTTCTAACAGCTTTCGAACATCACAAAAAGGATGGTGCCATTGGCCTCTCGTTGTTTGACATGCACTAGCAATTCATGACAGGTATTGCAGCAAAATTTAAAATTTGCAAGTGGAAGCAGTGCATATTTTGTTTTCTCAACAGTTAATGCTAGCTAAAACATTTTTCCAAGTTGAGAAATTTATTACTGAAGAGAAAAGTTAATAGCAGTTTAAAGGTGACGTTCTAATTTTCCTAACCTACATTAGAGGTGAAAGTATGTTTCATTTGCATATTTACATTATCAATCTTAAACAACTAAGTATGAAGTTTGTGTGCTGTTAAATAATGTGTAGCTCGTAAATAGTGTGTTTCATTGACAGAATTCATTGTTACATAAAGATAATAATTTAATTATTTATTTGGCTATTTTTTGTAAACTGCCACTACAGGACTACTTTGTGCTTATGAATTTAATAACTTACAGTAATAGTGCTTTATTTTGTTTCTCTATCTGAAATGGGTTTAAAGTTGTTGCTTTTTTCATTTGTTGGGGTTGGGGAATCTTTTTGTTTTCTTTCACTTACAGTCTTGAGCTGGTAGTTGTGTCAGTTTAAGTTGGATTTTAAAGGCCTGTGGACAAGGCAAGCATACCGGTATCTTCAGTTAACTTAATGTCACTGTCTTGTGTAATCATCTCTAAAACATACAGGTACAAATTAATTCAATAAGAAATTCAAGGTTAACTACATTAATGAGCTTTTAGAAGTATTGCTTAGTGTGCAAACAGTGCATATTTTATCAATTTCCTGCAGCATTTAGGATTCCACTTGTGCTAGAGGTAGGCCAGCATTGCATATTTTTTCAGTTCAGAGCAGGCTCATTTTTGATGTCAGAACTTAAAATAATCAGCACCACAATGATTCAAAATACAGGTACTGAGTTGCACATTTTTCCCCATCCGAAATTTCGATTTTTGATATGTGTGTAGATATGGTGTATGTGCTCTGTTCGGTTCTACAGCAGTTTCTGTTGCCGATCAGCCTGGAGTTGTCTGCTTTCCTTGTAAATATCGGAAGCTGTGCCACAGATCGATGAAAGATCAGATGTCTCCAAATTTTGTATTTATGTCAGTTAAATTATGCGATGCATGTAAACTGGATGCAGGTCAGCCATCAATTCAAATTCTTTTCTTTTAATCATTGTCGAAAACATTGCATATTTTTTCACTTTCACAGCAATCTTATTGAGGAAAAAAAAAAGCCATTTGCTCAAAAATACCGTATTCTAAAAACCCAGGTACCATCTTGAGATGTTTTGCTGTATGAAGTTTATGATTTTGAAAATTGGTGTAGATGTGTTGTATGCTCTGTTCAGTTCCACAGCAATTTCTGTCGCAGAGGAAATCTGCATCAAACAAACTCTGTTCTCCTTTTTCGATGCAAATATGCGGTGTCGGCATCCTGGACTCAAAAGGACAGATATGTATTCTGTTGTGTCTGTTCTTCCAGATCAAATTTTTTTGGTATTCAAACCGTGCATATTTTGTCACTCTTACAGCTCATCGTTGGGCTTTTAACTTCTTCCTTTACTGGATACAGGTCAGCCTTTAATTTGCCGCAACTTTGTTTTGGCAGAAAACATGTTTGTTTTTTCACTTTTACAGTAAGCTCCCTTTAAAATTGGATTTGTGCGTTTTTCACTTTATTATTAATATGGCGATACTGGATTCATACATAACAGGTACCAAAATGAGCTTTTTTGTCCATTTGTTGTTTTTGATTTTCAAAATTTTGTTGGTATGGTGTATACTTTGATCAGTTCAACAGCAGTTTCCACGATACTCTTACATCAGTTCTCAACTCCCAAGGAAGTATACTTGTTTCCTAAATTCATGCGAACATCTTTCAGCCAGATGAAGTAAGGTTAAAATTATTTGTCTTATTCTGAATCAACGTCCATTATTCGACTTCTGTTGTGTCAAAATGGTGCATATTTTCACTCTCTACAGTGCCTTAATCTTCACTGGATGCAGGTCAGCCTTTGATAAAATGTTTTTTTCCTTAAGTTCTTGGAAATTGTGCATGTTTCTTCAGTTTTCAGCAAGCTCTTCATTGCAACAAATTCACGTTCCATTCCGAAAAGAAGCACAGCTCTTGGTTGGCATAATATTTTCGGATATGATGTAAACTTGGATCATTTTTAATGAAATTTCAATCCTGGATTGATTGTTGGTCAACCAATTGATGGAAAGTTTTTTCTCACCACTGAGTGGAAGGTCATCTCAACACCCGAGTATTTGTTTCCAGTTGGTGAAATTCTTTTTGATGCAAGCAGTGCATTCTCTACAGCTTCTAACATTCCACTGGATGCAGGTTGGATCTCTATCCGAATATTTTCTTTGGTGTCAGAAATGTTGCATATTTTTCAGCTTAACAGTAAGCTCCTTTAAGCATTTAATTCCTGGGATTCAAAGTTGTCAGATTACCGGATTCTAGCAGTGTAAGTAACTATTTTAGAACATTCTCCATCCAAAGTTTTTGATTTCGAAATTTTTGAGGATGTGGTATATCATTTGTCATTTCAACAGCAGCTCTGTTTTCAAATGCATATAATTATGCTAAATTCTAGAGAGTTTTCCCATCCAGATATGTATCCTGTGTGTTTTTGGTTTTATTCTTAAACACTGTGTTTCAAACCGGTGCATATTTTGTCAGTCTCATTTCAGCTTCTAGCATTTCATTGGATTCAGGTCAGCCCACAATTTCATTTTGTTTTTATGTCATGAAAAAAGTGCATGTTTTTGTCGTTTTCAGTAAGTTCCTGTCACTGGATGCAGGTTGCGGCATAAGGTTAAGCCTTTTTCCTTTTCTTTTGTCATTCAAATAAACCTTGAAATAAAGCTCATCCAATATTTAGTCATACATTTGTTACAATACATTCATTATTTTAGTTGTATTTTGGTTTGTGTGCAAACAGTGCATACTTTATTTAGTTTCAACAGCTTGAATGCTAACAAAGTGGATTCAGGTTAGCTGAAAAACAGTTTTGTCTCTTTTTTTTTTTCTTTTCCATGTTCAATGTGTTGTATGATTATTTTAGTAAAAATAAGTTGATCACAGTCCTGTAAATTGTTTTTTTTTTGTCAACATGTAGTAGTAGCAGCAGTAGTGCATAGATTGGTAAACTATATCTGTCAGTAGTTCTATGTAATTTTTTTGAGTTTGATCACTTGACAAGTACATGTATCTAATGTTAATTGCTACCATGTTGTAAAGAACCATGTATGCAGCAGTGTCCCTCTGCATGGGCAGAGCTTAAACTATAACTACCAGTTTGAAAGATTAAGTGAGGAGTAGTAGAAATAGGTTAAGTTAGGGACAGTGTTCCAGTTCAAAGAAGCAGCAGAGACATGAAGGAAGACCTGAAGGATCAACATTATAAAGAGGTGAGTTGAAATCTACAAGGACCCTGCCCTGCATCGTATTGAGAAATAAAAAACCAATGAAACAATGGAATTGCTGTTTCTTTTTAATCTTGTCAGGAAGATGACAGGTTTTCACTGGGGACATCATTTACAAGGAAAATATGATGGCATACCAGTAGATCAACAATATCATTGCAAGGTACTGCTCTTGTGTTAATTGTCATGAAATACATCTTCATCTTCGAGTAAATTGTATTTCAGTCCAGTCCAGAATCAACCTTTGTTTACCGGGAAAAAATCTTTTTTTTAATGACAGTTTGCCCTAAAAGTCACTTATGGAGTTGTTTTTAGTTGTGCTCAAGCTCAGTTTGTTCTGTATTTGTAGTCATTTATTGCCTGCAAAAATCAATTCCATTTTAATTTTGTTTGTCTCCACAGATGACCTAAATGAAAGCAATTTTTGAAGATCAAGCAGATTCTTTCTATGTTGGATAATTTGGATTAATTTGCCTACTCAATTAACCCAAATTGATCGCCAAGCTAGTTTTTATGGCACGCCTGAGTGCCTGCTGTCTGCATTGGGTCAGGACTATGTTTCCAGACTATTTTTGTCCCATAATGGGTTTTAAGTCTGGTTTTTCGCAGCCGGCAGGCAGCACCTGGAATTAGTGTTTTGGCTTCTAATTTGGTAAAAACAAGTTTCCTGTTCTTTTGGAAAGAATTTATGACTTTTTCATGGTGTTCAATGTTTGGATGTATATTGGCATATGATTGGATTTTATTAGTCGACTGTTTCGCTTTGTATAATTATTGGCATGTTAAGCAAATAAATTCTGATTGGATTTTACGAGTTGTCTGCATTGCTTTGTATTTTGGCATTTTCAGAAAATAAATTATGATTGGATTTATTGTCTGTGGGTTTGCTTTGTATATTGACATGTGCAGAAAATAAAATATGATTTGATGTTACGAGTTGTCTGTGGTTCCCTTTGCCTGGTATTAGTGCTTTGACATAGGTATTATTTTGGGTAGCAGTTTTCCTCGAGATTCCCTTGGAAACTGTAAATTACAGTTAACCCTGAATCATGATCTAGACCGTTGATTAATAGCGGAAGGGTTATTGAAAGGAATTTGGAAAACTTGTGTGAACGTGTTGCTTGAATAGTATTAAACATTTCCAACGCCGAGGAGAGAGTTGTAAACACGACGCGTAGCGGAAGTATCTTTGACGAACTTAGAGGTGTTTGGAAGTGTGATTAGACACTGTCGAATGTTTTATATATCTTCTCAATCGAAACCAAAACTAACAGGAAAGCGGAGAAAAATTCCTTTGTCTAAACAAGGAGTTTGAGAAATTGGGCTCTAGACCCCTTTCGAAAGTGGGAATTGTGTTCTCGGTTAGAAAAATGTTCACTGGCCTGACTGGTGAAGTGAGCGAAGTCTTTCCCACCAAACAAAATTGTAGAACTGGACATGTAATAGTGAAATGATCTCGCTATGGGGCCACACCTGTACCCCTAGAACAGTACTCCCAGTAACTTGGTAGCAGAAGTCGTGGAAATGTAAAACTTCATCACGATGAACGCAAGTGACAGTTGATTAACCTTTCAGATTGTAAAAGGGAAATCTCCTTACTAAGCTATTGTTCGCGACTTTTGTTTAGAATTTCTGTCGTTGAGGATATTTCAGATCTTGATATCATGCAGGCTCGTGTGGCTTTTGTTAGTAATATTGGTCTCTTCTAATTACCCTTCGTTAGCAAAGGTGCAGAAGTGTCTCATTAATAAAGCTGTACAAAACAAACACGTTAGGAAAAATGCGTGGTCGTTCCACCCAATCAGTTCGATGTGATAAAAGAGACGGGGAACCATCAATCTTAATGCGCCACTGATTATGGTATGGGTCTTCTTTCGAAGTTCTGTAAGCATCCATTTGCTTGGTTGACCAGAAAACTCTTGCCTGTTGACAGAGTAATATCCAGTAGTTGTCCAAAGCTCAATGAAGCTAACGCAGGTTCAACAAGAATTCATATTCCAGTTTTGTAACTTTTCGGTGAGGTTTTCTGTTTAGTATGTTTGTCCTTCGGTTTTGAACTTGACTAAGCTCAAACTACACAGAACGTGAGTAGCAAAAAAACATTTTAATACAAGAAAAATTAATACTTCGGTAAACTTTTAATCCTGGGTTAGCGTTAACCGGCTTTCGAACAACCAGGCCCAGTGTGGTCAAATTTAGAGCAAATGGCCTTCTTCTTAAAATGCGAGTCGACGAGTTACAACTCTGTGGAACTTGTTAAAGAACTGAAAATTTTCCTAAATCCACAAGGAGAGTACTCCACACCTTTTATAATAAACCTCTTTTCTCAGACCAGTTTCCCTGACTAGTTTCTTGGTCTGTTCAAGATAACATTAGTTTCTTGGTGCGTTAGAGAACTTCCCCAGAACAAATTTTCCACCTGTCTCTTGTTAACGTCCCTGACCCTAAAACTTGAATTCCCGCTTGCCCTTCGGACGAGCAACTCCATTCTCGTCTGAGAGAAGCGCAAAGGGCTATGGGGAGAAGAATGGAGCAGCTTTACTGCGCCTTTCAATAACATGCGGACTCTTAAAGTCCGTGTGTTATTGAAAGGCGCAGTAAATTTTGCTTGCCCTTGGGCCCTGTTTACTTTTTTAAGCGCGCGGCCTAGGGCGAGCGCGGTTCTTAAACTGAGTCACGCCTTTTTCTCTGAGTCAGTTTTTGAGTTTTTACAGAATAGCTTGGCTGCGAGCCATTATATTCAGAGTGTGGTGGATGATACTTGCCAAAATTACACACAGCATATGTCAAAACCAGGAACGTTGGTGTGACAATGTAATTATCCAAGCAGTATCCAATGCTGTTAACTGTATTGACTCGTAAGCACTCAGCTAATCCATGATTATTACTAGTAATTTTATAGAATAGCTTCGCTGTGAGCCACGCTAATTGGAAAGTAAATTATTGAAGGTTTACTATTAGCGCAATAGTAACAAAAGGCGTGCATTGTAAACTATAGCGTATTGGAAAATTGGGTTAACCACATTTTCCATGTGAAAATGAAGGAAACATTTCTTGCTTTGCTTGCAAGCCAAAATTAATCTGTATTGGCATCAGTTGATAACAAAGTTTCAAACCTTAGCAATCTGGAGCTGTGACCACAAATTCACATGCAAGGCAAGCGCTAAATACGCCCGTCATAGATGAATATGTTCGTAATTACAACCTTTGCAATCTATGACCACAAATTCACACAGGTCAAGAATTACATTGAACTTGATCGACCAGATTATTTCCTCGTCAGTTATGGCAATACAGGCTGATCCACTCATTAAAATGTAGTTCCTGACTGAGGAGTGTTTTGCAATTGACATTCGATTCTTCACTTGTGGGGAATCATGAGTGTTCTGTGAACTCAAGGCTAGATTGCGGTCGATTTCCCGCTAAATTGTTCTAATAGAACGATTACTGTAGCGAATCACAAAGGACAGACAGGCACACAGACAATGTAATGACTCAAAGTAGATATATGCAGCTGACGCGAAGCACGGTAAGCGTGCGGCGTGCAAGTATCGAGTTATGGATGCACGCGGGAGGTTGCTAAGCACGAAAGACGCGTAAGAATCGCTCGAGGCAATAGCCGAGTGCAACTCTAGCTTCTTGAGTGCTTAGCAAACCTCCCAAGTGCATCCATAACTTCGGTGGCAGTACAAAAATATTTCTCCATTAGAAAAATATTCATCCCAGTACAAAAATATTTTTCTCACTACACAAATATTTATCCTGCAAGATTTTTCCCATGCTGCATTACTCCCCTGGTAAAGTTGATTAGTGTCAAAGTTTCAAATTACGTAGCCTCCTGCTCAAACCATCTCTCGGCTTGTCATGAACGAAATGTTGCGTGACGAGCCCAAAGTAGCAAAACCAATACCAAAAGTAGCTTCTTTACTTTTCTTGTCGACCACAAACATTGACACATGCAAGGGTTAGGGTTTGGTTCATTTCTATTCTACTTGTACTATGTATAACAACGTAACGTTAATCTTTGTAGACTACGAGTAGTCCCTCATTCGCTTAGTCCGACGTGCGTGACGCGAAAGAAAACTGCGAGAAAAAAATGGCCGCGCACGCGAAATCCTGGAGATGAGGAGGAGCGCGCTCCACGCCCCAGGATTTCGTGCGGCGATTTTTTTCTCGCGGTTTTCTTTCGCGTCACGCACGACGGACTAAGCGAAAGAGGGACTACTTGTAGTCTATGTTCTTTACTTTGAAATTGCCTACTTTATTAACACTACCAGAAAGGAAGGATAGTACATGAATTTTAAAAGTCTGGAAATTCAAAGAAACAGTTACAGTGTAATGATTATCCTAGGTAGCTAGGTGTATTAATTTGTTCTGTCAATTTCTTGTATATCCTGTTTTCCATCTGCTCCCACATGATAACCATGCTCGTGTTCTTCCTCATCCTCCTCGCCGTCAGGAGTGGAATGCTCATCAGTTTGCTGAATGAACCCAGACAGGTCTATTGTCAGATGGGGTACTGTCCCACCCTGTTCTTGTGTCTGTTGCAGCTCTTCAGACAGAGGCAATTGAATGTGTCCACTGAGCATATGCTGGCTCACCACACTTTGCATCATTTGTTCAACATTGGACTGCTGCAGCACTTGGTCGACAACAGACAACTCTGATTGGCTGGTAGTGGGAATAATGGCAGCGCTGTCAAGCATGGTGTGAATGACCGCCTGCTGCGCCACCACTGTTTCTGCAAGAGACACAACATCTGCTGTGGCCTGGACAAGACTGTCATGGTTCACCATTGGGTCATCAGTGGTATGCACAAGAAGTGACATTGTGTGAACTGGTGTAGTTTCTATGGACACCTCCTTGGCTACGATTGGCTGAGCTAGCACCAGTTGGTCGCCAGTGGCCTGTGTTACAATAGTATGATCTCCCTGTGTATAGACCAGTGCTTGAGATGTAATGGACTGCTCATCTTCACCTCCTGTAACTAATAACCAAACTGAGTGTAAAAAACTGAACCTGCTTGCAGTTACCTTTGATTTCTGCTATGTACTTGTAAGAGAAAGCTAGCCAAGTATTGCCACTCTGCCTTGATGGGATTCAACAGTGGCTACCCCCTCCCCCACCCCCCCTCCTTCTTCCCAAGGCTATTTGTTAGTTGCTCTTACAATTTGCAAGGAACAATTTGACTGATGGGCGGAAAGCAAAAGCGTTTTGAGCAACAAGTCACAAGGACTTATCCCAAAAATTCAAACTGGTTTGGATTCGTGGGAGTAGTCGCAGGGACCAAAGTTTAGTCCCTGTGACTAGATTTTGAAGCAAAAATGGCCAGTTCACATGATGGGACTTGTCCCCGTGACTTGTTACAAGGACTAGTTGCAGGGAGTAGTCCCGTCATGTGTGCTGACCTTTAGACCACCGTACAGGGGTTTGTCTACCATGAAAAATTCAAATATCTAGCATCTCTGAGAAGCTGTTTCCCAGCCCTTCCACTTAATCCACCAAGACTAGGATTTAATCTTTATCACTTTAAGCCCAACCTAGTGTTGTCCATGCATTATACCATTGTACATCACCTGTATCATCCATGTTTTCAATATGAGGAAGTATCGTTTGGTGAACATCATTGCCATCTGAGATCAGAGAGGCAGTAGCATTCTTGCTCGGTGCTTTCTTAGGTCTCTTGTCACCCTTATTTTGATCCACATGCCTCTTTTGATGGGCATTACGGCTTCCACTCTGACTAAAAGTCTTTCCACAGATCTCACATGCATAAGGTTTCTCACCAGTATGTATCAACTTGTGCTTTCGAAGACTGGAATGCTCCGTGAAAGTGCGACCACACCCTTCCACTGAACATTTGTAGGGTCTTTCACCTAACAATAAAGAAACATTTGAATGACTTAGTGTAGGTCTTGGTATTCAATAAAGACTTTTAGATTCACCTTTCCTGCAAACGGATCATGTGACCAGAGCCAGACTTCCTGTTTGAGGTTTTTGACTAGCATTTTGAACGTCAAGCAGTCGGTTTACACGTAAGTCATTTAGCTCAAGCTTTATTGCCTTCAATTTCATTTTATCTTGCATACAAATGCTGAAATCGAATAAAGTAACCCTTTTTCTACACATTGGCTAAATTCTTCAGGCAAATAAGCAATTACCTGGCCTTTTGTTGTTGTTTGTAGAAAGGCACTCCTCCTAAGAAGAAATCCAATATGGCAAGGGCTTAAGTTGAATGTGTAGTTTATGACGATTATCTCTTTAGAAAGCTACACATGCTAGAAAACATTTTTTTTTTTCAAAATTGGCATTATTTTGACAATTTCTATTGCATTGACAGGGTGATTTCTATTCGCTCCAATTAACTCCAATCCAAATCAGTTTACATCCGAATGGCTAACGGCAAACTTCTAACCTCAAACCACAGTTTGACGTTTGCAGTAAATGTGGATCTAAAGACCTCTATTACCATAAAACTTCTACTGTAATATGCAAACTTTTCCTTCCAAATCAACATTCTCAAATGTCATTCCATGGCAGCTACGTATACTCTAACTAATGTGTTTACTGGATAATAAGCAGCTTAGCTGTAATCTGACAATGACTGAAAAATCTACCTTTTCAGTGTGACTCTCTTTCTGACTGTCAAACCCTCACATGTTGTACAAATCATGCTGAATCTTTATCATAAGCTTCTGCTATCTGCTCACGGTTTTAATATATCAATCACTGATAATATAATTATTTCTCCAAATCTACATGAATACCATTAAAACACAATACCAAGGACATACGTTCTGGACTAACTGGATAGAAAAGGAGATCACAATGTACCTGTGTGTATCCGCATGTGATTTTTCAAATTTCCTTGTGTGGTAAAGGATTTCATACAGCCCTCCACATTACATGTGTATGGTCGTTCACCTGTGTGAACTCTCATGTGAACATTGAGTCGCTGCAACACATAAAAGCTTTTGTTGCATCCTTCAAAAGAACAGTGATATGCTCTGTCCCCTGTGTGTGTCTTCATGTGATATTTCATGTGTGCAGGCCATGCAAACACACGATCACATCCTGGATGCTGACACTTGAAGGTTCTTTTTCCACTGTGCGTACACTGGTGATATCGCAGATAACCTGATGAGGTAAAATTCCTCCCACACCCTTCGTGTGAACAGGAGTATGGCTTTTCTCCAGTGTGTGTACGCATGTGGTATCTGAGATGTGCAGCAGTGGTAAATGTTCTTCCACAATCAGCATAATCACATTCAAACATCCTTGACAGGTTTCTAGTTAATGGAAAAATAAAGCTTACATTTCATCATTTACTGTCAGTGTCACTGATAGACTGGACAGATAGAATTCTCCAGCTAACACCTCTCTGGATATAAATTTCAATGTAGACAATAAAAATAATAATATTAATACACATGATAATATCAATTATTATTATGTATATAGATTATTACCATATATTTTGCTATGATCATGTAAATAGCTACTTTTAACATTTAATTCCCCTATTAGTAAAACAATTCTCCATTCTACTAGGAGGGTAACACTCTTCATAGACCTAAATTATTCCATGTTCTTACACTGCGAATCTTTCACATCATCGGGAGAGCCTTCATTCTATAGTCACCAGAAAAAAATGTACTAAAAATTTCAACTGTTTGTGGTTGGTGTGTCCTTACTGTAAAAGTGTGTATAAATCACTAGTGAGAACATGTGTGTAATCATTATATGAACTAAGGACTTACTTTGAGGCATCTCGCGATCTGGGCAGTAGAAGCATATGTGTCTGTGGACTTTCTTCTGGTGAACTGCAGTTTTGAATGTATAATAAGCCTAGTAAAAAGAAAAAGAGAAAAGAATGAATATCAACAGAGCCACACAGAAGTTAGTATTTCTTGAAGTTGTAATCTGATTATGACGGATGCCTTTAGCACACATGATATAGTTTCCCTGATGGTTAAGAAATGAAACAAGGTATTCTTCAGTCAGTACAATTACCTGTGTCATCTACATCTGCACCTTCAGTCCTTTCACCTAACACTTGGGAACTGCAGTTAATGGCATCTGCTACAATGGTAACACATTCTGCTCCATCATTTCTGGTCTCTTCTATGATTTCATTGGCAAGAGACTGCACTACACCAGAGGAACAATCAGCAGACAATCCAGATCCTTAAAAACCATAAAAAAGAAGTACAGTCAAGTTTATGAGCTTATTGATTACATGGGAGGGTCAGACATTTTCTTGCCCAGGTCAGCTTAACTTAGTCGATCAAGTATTTTGTCATACCAGCTTATTTGAGTTTGATTTTGTTCAAAAGTTGTAGTAATGTCTTCATGAATGTTCCAAGTTGCATTTTGCTGAATAGATTGTGATGAGGTATTGCTGGACTGGCTCACAGCGATCTGTCCAACAGTACACATATCAAAAGGGTTACATCCGTGGAGTGGTGACGTCCAATGATAAAGAGACTATAAACCTGTCAGTTTACTCTGTGGGAGAGTCGGTGTGTTAATGATTAAGTGCTGGATACCATATAGATAGATCCAAGCTTGAACCCTGAACAGCCAAGGGCCATTGTGAAACTTGGGTTCTTGGTCAAGATGAGGTAAAAATACATTGTATTTTAGAATGGGCTTAGATGCTAACAGTTCACTGAAATTGAACATCTTAAACAGTTTTAATGCTAAGAACGGTTTATCATGTGCTGGATTGAGCAGTCCAGTTTGAGCCCTGGCTGTGGTCACTGTGTTGTGTTCTGGAACAATACACTAATACTCTCAAAGTGTCTCTCCTCGCACAGGTGACTTAATGGTTACCAGCAAACTTAGAACTGGGGATAACCCTGCAATGGACTAGTATTCCATTCAAGGGGAAGTAGATATACTCCTAGTTGCTTCATGCTCAATTACAATATAGAGATGGGGCCAGGGTGAGGAGGAAAGGAATAAATCGGATTTTGGCCAGAATTGTACATTCAATATATATATATTTCAATTTCCAATATACAGCCAGTAATGAAAAATATTGTTGTAGTCACAGTCTACAAAACAAATAAGAGGTGCCACAGAAAAAGTAGGCAATTGGATCATGTGTACTAAAGGCATCCACGGTCAAGTGTCAATTGATACCCTTGACTGATGATGCCCTCAATCGACATTTCAATCGACACTTCAATCAATACTCTGTTGACACTTGATCGACACTCGACCAACAGTCGGTTGATGGTTGGCCCAGTGTACACAAACTCATATGCATCGATCGAAAATTAGTTGACTCTTGACTAACTGTCAACTAAGATGTTGATTAAATGTCGAGTGAGTGTCAACTGAGTTGTCAATGCTACGATTATCAGCTGAGTAAGGCGGGAAGAAAGCTTGTTGTCAAGAGCAACTGCCTCTGTATCCATTGACAACTTGTCAGCCTTTAACGTCATTGGCAGCAAAGCGTGCGAAATTGTAGGCGACGCAACAGGCAACCAATGGCTTTTGATATTGTTACCAACGGAAACAAGGTAAGTTGCCCGTAACAACAATATAATTTTAAGGCCAAAACTTTGTAACCAAACTTGCCACATGCCTTACTCAACTGATAATTGTAGTAGATTGTCGATCGAGTATCAATTGAGGGTTTTGATCAAGGGTATCGATCGACACTCCACCACGGATGCCTTTAGTACACATGATGCGGCAATGTTGCCCCAAAATACCTTCATCTTGTTTAGCAGATCCCGTAACATGTACATCAGGACAGTTATCTGGTGAACATGCCATTAAAGAATGGGTCTCTTCTGAAAGGATCTCTGATGATGTAGAAAATTCATCAGATTCAATAGCTCCAAGACTATCCTGTTCCACTGATAAATCCATTGCAAACACAAGAAACAGGACCAACTGTGACAAAAATACAGATTTAAACTACTTTCAGAATCTTTTTGGCGGTCTGAAGAAGCTAAATCTTGATTGACAACCATAAATTACTATGACATCATGTACTTGTATTTCTATCAAAACCATATTGCGTTCAACTTCACAATCTGACTTTGCCCACCATCTATGTCGCCCGAGAGAAGTCCAATGAGATACAGTTTGAATAAATTTCAAATTCGATGGATAAAATATCTTCGTTTTTCCTTCAAAGAGCTACAATAGCTTGCAACCTTCTCTACTGAGTCCTTTTCTTGTCTTTTTAGCGCTTATAAGCTAATTTCGCAAGTTTACCAAAAAGATTTTAAAAACTTACCTCAGCGCTCCTTCGCTGCAGAAGCTTCGCGTACGGATACTAAACCATGTGTAAGCGATTTTACGGATCCGTACATAAATCTAACTGGTTTGATGTATTTTATACAAAGTTTATAAACAGTAGGACTTAAATTAACCACAACAGAGGAAATCAAGGTTAACATACCATATCTCGAAGGTTTTTGCCAACATTTTCATGTCAACTAATCGATTGAAAATTGACGAGTGAAGTCAAAAGCTAGATCTGTGGTTCACAACACCTCGTGCTTTATACATTAACAACTGTCCGACTGCTCGGCCATTTTTGTGACCTTTAAGAGAAATGTACCGTGTGGATAATACCTTCTGTAAAACCTCTCTCAGCTGGTTGTATTTCCCGCTTCTTTTTGTGTTATATTATGGTCTTTTTCTTGTGAAAAACTATCATGGTTTATCCGCCATCCCTTCATTTCTTCACCGATTACCTTCCCAGCTATCTTCGCGCGCCTGGGCCAGGAAATGTCACTCTTCAGCAAGAATATGTAGTGTGACTATCTGATTACCATACGTGAATTATTATTTAGGATGAGCTAGCCAGGCTGTTCTTTCTTTCCCCGCGAAGAGCCTACTCACAGACTAATCTCCGATCGATAAATCGGCCGGAATATAAGATTTCTTTTCGAAACGTTTGTGATTTTTTCCTTCAGGAAAGTTTACCACGTTTAAGGTCGGTTTTCTTTCCAGGGTTTACGGAAACCTGAGTAAAAGTCGAGAAAGTTTAATAGTCTACGTTGAACATCGTTATCAGAAGCATGGAAAAAGTCAGAGGGAAAAATCGCTGTTTTTTTTTTCTCCCATTTTTTTTTAGCTTCGCTCGGCGTTCTAAGCCTGAAAAAATTTTGGCCTAAGCTTCCACTCACTATCTATGAGCTAAGCGATTAAAAATCGGTTTATTTTTGAAACAAAATTAACTTTATTTAGAGGGTTTTTGAAATATTTAGAAAAAGTTTTTAGAACTTTCGGAAGGATATTTAGACGATTTTACGCGATATTTATATATTTGTAGAAAGGCCTATCCGTACATCTGCGTCTCTCCAGTTTGTTTTGACGGGTCACGCAACCTGACTGTGTTTGCGTGAAGACGAGGTCAATTGACTAATTCATGAGGTACACGTGCAGCGTTCGTGAATGGGATTTTACTATCAATAGACCGGAAATAGGTCAATGAACTGTCAAATTACTATTTTGGGCCGTGAAAACAACAAAACGTGGTCAGACGCCCTCCGACTCATGAACTTTCAAAATTGCACATCTCCTTTTAGCATTACCTGGCTAAAATGATGCGAAAGCGAAATTTCAGTTATTGTAGAGATGAGTAACTGAATTTTCAATAGTCATTCATTCCGTCATCCTAGTATCACGGAAAGAGGCAGAAAGGGCTCCCAAACCTGTTACATCCGGGCCTCTCTAACAATATGACTGGTTTAAACCGGGAAAAGCGGTGCAAACTGGCCGCGGTGTTCGCTGTAAAACTTCGTGCAGTGTTCAGAGAAGGTCGTGTTTTTAGTTTCCGTCGAATTTTTCCTCAGTTTATACTCAGAATATATTTATTTTCTCGTGATCTGTCTCTTTACTCCAATGCCTACGGCAATGGCAACCATAGAGCACGCTACGCAGCTGCTGGATTTCTCTCAAAAACTCGATATAACTTTACTAGACTCGGTCGTCTCTTGTTTTTACATGGCCCAGGGACCGCAGGTTGATACATATTTTCTGTTCATTTTTCAAATTTTGAATGAGCAGTTTTTGGAAATACAATCCAAGGTCCCTCTGACAGAAGGATCTCTTTTCGCCTCCTCAGCAAAGAATGGCAGACCAGATCTTGACTCAACTGAAACAGCACCCTGACGCCTGGACGAGAGTAGATACCATACTCGAGTATTCAAATAACCAACAGACAAAGGTACACTATGGGCTATCATGAGTGCAGTTTTCCGAAAGGTCATAATTTTGAGACCATACTTTGAATTTTTCTTCCAGTATTTCGCACTCCAAATACTCGAAGCAGTCATCAAGACCCGATGGAAAGTTCTTCCTCCAGAACAGTGTGAAGGTTAGTCTTGCAGGTTTTACTACGAGTCTGTCAGAGGAAATTTGCATTTTTCGTGCCCTGAGAGGCAATTTATTTTGAAAAAAAAAATGCTGACGATTCAAATTTAAAGGTGAATTTTCTTTGGTTTTTCAGGCATAAAGAAATACATTGTAGGACTGATAATAAAAATTTCATCTGACGCCGAGTTGCTGGAGGTGTGAATGTTTTTCGAAGTTTGGTTTTGTTTTCGAATGTCTAAACTTATTGTCTGATTTATAGTCTTCGTTTGACCAGATTAAAGTCGCTGGCGAATTAATATTGCTTTTATTTGATTCTCCTCAGAAAGAGAAAACGTATATTGGAAAGTTGAACATGATTTTGGTGGAGGTATGTTAGATGAGATGTCGGTTTTGTTTTAGAAGGGTGATTCCCGCCAAAATATTCATATTTAAAATGCGATGTCATTTCTGTGGCTTTGGATAATATTTGCGTAAATTTAGGAGAGCAGGGTTTGTCCATGTTTGCCTGCGAGACTTGTCTTAATTAATGTCTTAATTCAACCAAGTTTGAAAAATCATGGACTCTTTAGCCAGCTAATGCGTTTTGACAGGTGTTTTTGTTTACAAGTTAGAAATGGGCTGCTGGCCAAATTAGTCAAGCTTTCAAAATCCCTGCAGAAGTATTGCGCTGATTTTAATTAGACTTTGAGAGTTCTAACTCTTCTTGCATTTGTCTAGACCAGACGAGGTCTTGTGTAAGCACTGAGATTTTAACTAATATATTAAAGAATGGTATAAGTATGGTTTTAATTTGGCAGGTTCCCAGTTGTTTTCAATTACTGATTTAAAATATTAAACTGTTTTTGTTGATTCATGCTTGTTGGATTGTTGTATTCTGCAAGGAGCATGTTTGTTGCATCAAAGTCATTTATTTATTATTATTTTGTTTTACTNCAGCCATCTTGACTGAACAAGCTTGGTCAATAAAGGATTTATTATATGGCTTTCGGGGAAATTTTTTTTTGCAGGACACAGTGGGTAGTCCCGAGCGGGCAAGATTGCTCCATCTTGCCCGCTCAGGTAACCAATCGCAGCGCAGGATTTGATTAATCTTGCCCACTCACAGAGCTAGCCGTATAATAATGGAAAATAAATTTTCACACAAGTTTCCTTATTGTGGAATCACTTGAGATGTGTTCATCTTGTGTTAATGAAATAATACTAAAGGACTAATTCATATAATGGTTGTTACTTTGTAGCATGTGCAGTGAATTCCTACAGATATTTACTCTTTGCCAGTATGTTTTGGTGAGTTATAACACTGAATATGCTAGCCACTTTAGAAAATGTTTCAAAATGGTGAAATGAAATATGGACGTATATTGTAGTTACATTATGATATGTTGTTATTGTTACGTTGGTCCTTCTATAAATTGGTCTTGGTATAAGTTGTGCATTTGGCTTAAGAATTTTGTTTTATACAATGAAGAATTGTTAAATACTTGTGAAAAATAGTCCGTGGCAAGTCTGACATGCCATTTCGTCTTGGACAGTGACCTTTCAGAATTCAACAGAAATTTGTTTTGCTCTGTAAACAAATTTTGTGGTTGCTGTACTGTTTTGTAAAATAGACTTAATCAAGTTCATTGATTCAAATAAGAAGTTATTATAGCTCTCTAAGTTCTGTATGATAGTGGAACTGTTTCAAACAAACATTTGAAATTTCTTTTTAAGGGCAATTCTCAGAATGTTACTCTCATTGGTGCAACACTAGAGGTGGGTTTGCATTGTTCTTCATGTGTTTGTTTATTTCATTAAGGGCCTAGCAGCGGGAAAATTGACTGGTTGCAAGGCTGATGTGGCCTGCCTGGTTTGACCATCCGGAGGAACCTTTTTTCTTATAAAGAAGTTCAGTTCAAAAATTTTCACTTACCTGTAAAATCTAATCATCCTCCTGCTGAAAATGTGAAGAACCCTGTGCCTCAAGTTTTATGTGCTACTTGTACATGCCTGAAAACTCAGGGAGACAATGAGTATGGAATTTTTGGGTCAAAATTTTTAATAACATCTAATTCTCTATTTTACAGACATTATTACGATTTCTCAACTGGATTCCACTGGGCTACATATTTGAGACACAGCTCAATAGCACACTTGTTTGCAAGGTAATCTAAGAGATCGTCAATACTAATAATTGTTGTGTTTAAGAACAGGAGCACATGGTAGGTCAGTGTTCCCACAACTTTTTTTGAGCGAAAAAAAAGTTTTTTATTTCTTTTGGACAATATGTGAGAAAAAGAAAGAAAATTCACTTGTTTATTATGATTATCAATGGAATTGTATGAATTCTTGTTGCTCACGCCATGAGTATGTCAACAGGCCATGTTAGTTCTGTGTTTCTCTCAAGTCATAAAAGAATGTCTCTTTGAGCATGCGGTTTCTTTCAGGGGTCTTTTCTATTGAAGGGAGCTCTAGTTTATTGAATTTTTAATTAGCAAGTGTAGATTGAAGTTGTAGTTCTTTACTTGTTTTTCTGTTTTGACAGTTCCTGAATGTGCCCATGTTCAGAAATGTGACGTTGAAGTGCTTGACTGAGATCGGTAAGAAGAGAAAAGTTGTACGTGAATTAAAAAGGCGTAAAATTTTGGTATTAACCACTGGAGCAGCATGTTCTTGTAGAATTGTACTGTCTCTAACTGTTGATATGTTGTTATCAAAATAGCTGGCATTGATGCAAACCAGTATGATGAACAGTTTGTGGTGCTATTTTCCTTAACAATGGCCCAGTTAAAACAAGTAAGTTAAATTCATCTAGTTCGTGTTTTAATTTGCATTGTCTAGGGCATTGGAGATGTTTTGCCGTCTTCAATGCAGTTATCAAAAGACCGCATGTCTATGTCAGTCACGGACATGGCAACCTGAGTATGTTTCCTGTGGTTCCCTTACTTTTACTGCACATCGAAACTGTTTGCATGGCAGTGATGCCATGGATCAACGAAAGCTTGGATTTTAACCTTCAATTTTAACAGTAGTTTCAGGCCTCTTTTGAACTTTTGTATTGTTATTTTGAAAATGCTACTGAAGCACAATATCCAGAGATTATGTACATGGACATTGTGATGTATAGCAGCTATGTCTTCATTAGAAGTAGACTAGCACTCAGGTGAATTATCCATCCGGTGTATGGGCATGATTCATTTAACTGTGGCCTATTATTGAGCCTTTTAGTGCTCATTTATTTCAATTTTATGCGATTAATTTTGATTAATTTTTGCGATAACTGTACCTCCAAAAATAACTTAAAGGGTTAAGATTTTAATGGTTGTATAGGAGTCTGTGGATTTTCAGCAGGTAGGAAGGAATTAGTGCTGGGTAGCTAGTGAAATATCGGTGAAGAGATACTGAAATTAACTGGTTACCACCTCAAGAATGCTGACGTTTTCTTTTCCTATAGATGCTTCCTTTGACAATCAACATCAAAGATGCTTATGCAAATGGGAAAGATGATGAGCAGAAGTTTATTCAGAACCTGAGCTTGTTTCTTTGTACATTCCTGAAGGAACATGGCCAATTGGTTGAAAAGAAGGTTTGCAATATGTTCATTTCAGGATGATCTGTTTAACACTCTTGTCATTCAATACATCTTACTAACTTGTGCCTAAACCTTTGTCTGATTTTTAAAGACAAGTACAAATTTGATGCAGACAAGTGAATCTTTCACCTGACCTGTTCACGAAACAAGCAGGTTGCTGGTTGGCTGCAAACACTTAATAAGTGAAAATTGGCACCAAACTTTGCCAAGATGTAAAAGGAAAACTCTTATTTCACAACGAAATATTAAACTGTCAGGCAAATTTCATCATTTTTCAGCCATGTTTTATTCCCATAAATGACATCAGAAAGGCTTTGCACCTTTAAAAGTTTGTAGACAAACTCTTAGGGGGTTTATATGTTCAAGTAGTTGTCCAAAGGGCATGTGAATCATCACTTTTTTCTTTTACTCTGACTAACCTTATTCTGACTGAGTAATGTTAGCATGGTGTATTTTTTTTCATCATGTAGGAGGAGCTTCATACCACTCTGTTGGAGGTAGGAATGATTTAGTTAAAACTGCAGTAGTAAAACTAAAAGCCAAATGTATCGATGTCTTTGGAACTGAAACTAGTTGTTAATCACAGTTAAAAATTAAATTATCAGAGATCAGGAGTTCACTCTGTAGGAATGACTGCTGACTTGCTTTCAAAGCACAGCAATAAATTATTATGTTCAGTGCTACTTTGGTTTTTCTGTAGTTAAGGCAAAATGTTCAAGCATGTTCTAAAACCTTCAGTCCATTCTCCTTTTTTGTTTAGAAACATTAGAACGTGTAGAGAAAGCATCATCGCATATACAATTTTTCTCTGTGCAGGCTCTCCATTACCTTGTGCTCATCTCAGAGGTAGAAGAGACAGAGATCTTCAAGATCTGTTTAGAGTACTGGAATGCACTGGCATCAGATTTGTACCGCGAGAACCCATTCCCTTCAAGTGCACCACTTCTGATTGGCACTTCACAGTCTCAGCAGATCCCTCCCAGGAGACAAATGTACCTCTCAGTGTTATCCAAGGTAAGTCACATAAAGTGCTGTCATTAAGGGCCATAATCCATAACATTATGGCTGAGTATGCTTGATTTTCATTGATGCTACGGGTGAAATTGCCTGTTGTTGATAGAATTCACCCACAAAGTAACAATTTTGCTACAGGTATGAAGAGCCTTGAAATGCTACATTCTTGCTTGACATATTGATGCTTACGGGTGAAGGCTTGTCAGAGCAGTGAGGAGTTTGGCTGCATCTCCTGAATAGGATTCTAACCTATGCAGGCTCCCCCGCCCCACATCCAACCTCTAGAATCTGTCATATTAACCTATCACTGGCGTGTATGTATCTTTTTGCTTTACCCAGTATCCTCTTGGATGAGAGTCAAGCACCACAATGCATTGACCTCAACTAAGGCTCAAACATGGCCTGCTTAATCTGATTGCATACTATCAGAACCTTTGGGCTCTTCTTTGGTTACTTGTTAGCAGTCTCTTGGTTAATTTCTCGTGGTAAAATTATAATCCAGCCAACTTAGTTTTTGTAACAATATTTTTGTTTTTTTTCATAAATCTCTTCCCAAAACCTTTAATATCTATATTTTAGGTACGATTGACCATGATTGCAAGAATGGCCAAACCGGAGGAGGTAACTAAGATAAAGCTTATAAGCATGTTTTGTTTCATCTCTTTATTGATAAAGAATCTTGCAGGTTTGAATGACAACACTCAATCCTGTTTTACTATCCACAGGTGCTGGTGGTGGAAAATGACCAAGGTGAAGTTGTCAGGGAGTTTATGAAGGATACTGATGCCATCAACCTCTACAAGAATATGAGAGAAACGTTAGGTAACTAGCATGAAAAAGAAAAGCTTGTAATGAATTCATTCAAGCCATTCAGCATGAAATAATATGTGGAATGCATGGTAATTCTGTGTCATGATTTGCATTGTAGTGTATCTTACCCATTTGGATTATCAAGACACAGAGAGAATCATGACAGAAAAACTTCAGAATCAAGTCAATGGCACTGAATGGTCCTGGAAGAACCTTAACACCGTGAGTTTTTATTTTACTTTTATTACTTGGGTTTACAAGTTTTGCAAAAGGGGTTGAGAGCATTGTGCGACAATACAATCATGCATATGAGTTGAAACAATTCATAACCTTGATATGACTTTATTAACAGCTTTGCTGGGCAGTTGGTTCAATCAGTGGAGCAATGCACGAAGAGGATGAGAAAAGATTCTTGGTTACAGTCATCAAGGTATGGTAAAGTTCAAGCCTTCTGTTTTATTTCATTACTTTTGACAGGTAAACATGCAGGTGTATATCCTCTCACCAAGATGGCCTGTCATAGATTCAGTTTTTGCAAGGAGTTTGGTCTTAGTTAGTTCTGGAGATTTTCCCTGACTATTCCAGTTTTTCTCTCTCCAAAAAGTGAAATTTCCAAATTCCATTTTGATCTATATATAGATCCCATATATGTGTGAGAATGGGAGCTCTAAGGTCAAACTAGCTTCCTCTCTAAATATTTCATTAAAAAGTTTGGGAGCAGGGTTGGCACAGTGGTGCAAGTGCTCGCCTCCCACGAATGTGGCCCGGTTTCAATTCTGCCCTAGTGCCATATGTGGGTTGAGTTTGTTGTTAGTTCTCGCCTTGCTCCAAGGGTTTTTCCCCGGGTACTCCAGTTTTCCTCCTTCCTGAAAAACCAACATTTCCAAATTCCAGTTTGACCAGGATGGAGGACCTGCATGAAAACCAGCTAAGGCTGCTGTGGCTTCTTCTCTGAATATTATGATTTATTTACAATGTTCTGTGCGAGTAATAATTTTGTTATTGTTCTGCTCTGCAGGATCTTCTCGGTTTATGTGAAATCAAACGTGGAAAGGACAACAAGGCAATCATTGCCTCAAACATCATGTACATTGTGGGACAGTATCCTAGATTTTTGAGGTATCACATCAATAGATTGCGAATTTGTATTTTGTTAGGTATCTCTTGTGAAGAAAACCTTTTGACTCAGTGATCATTTATTCCCTGTCGTCATTTATTTCTAATCAACTGCCATTGCATTTTTTTCCTAGGGCACATTGGAAGTTTTTGAAGACTGTGGTGAACAAGCTCTTTGAGTTCATGCATGGTAGGCTGTCTTCTATTCTTTATTTTTGATCATCAGTCACCACACTGTGTTTTCGAAAGTTTATTTGTTGAAACCTCTATGATCATGAAATCCTGAATTTTTGAGAACATCCATATACTTAGGCCAGTTTTTAAGTACTAGCCTGTGTCACAACTGATTGTTTTCTTTTGGGGAGGGCCATCTGGGACCCAGTCTATTAAGTACCTAAAGATGGATTTCAATTATTGCTCATCTAGAATTTTTCAATATTTTTTAATGTCAGAAACTCATGATGGTGTCCAAGATATGGCTTGTGATACATTCATCAAAATTGCCCAGAAATGCAGAAGACATTTTGTTCAGGTAAGAATGTGAATTTTCTTTTCTTCTCCTTGTTGATAAGTTACATGTATTTCAGATTGAATTGAACTTACCATGTTTAATCCTTTATCAGGTCCAAGTGGGTGAGGTTATGCCATTTATAGAGGAAATATTGAACAGTACACAATCTATTATTTGTGATCTTCAACCTCAGCAGGTAGCCTTAACTTTGTTTTAATGTCATTTATTTAAACAACACATCCTCACTGTTGTAATAATTCATTTGAATCACAGTACAGAAAGAGTGTTAATTGATACAAGTACTTTAATGTACATTGTTCAAGGATGTGAATTACTTGGTTCGTATCCATTTTAGAGGTTTGGATTAAGTGTCATGATTTTAAATATTTTCTGCAAAAGGGGTGTGCTGTTGGTAGCACTGTCTTGAAGTCAAAACTCAGAAGACATTCTTATTGATTCTTTTAAAATTATTGTAATGAGTTACACATACGTGAGCATTGAAAGAGTCTTGCAGGCTTTTTCAAATTAATTTTGTTGGTACATCTCGGAAAAATTATTAAAATCTGTAGTATGCTCTTCTTCCTTCAATAACTCACCCAATGTTTGGGCTTTTAGGGGCACTTAGGGCCAAATTGCTGTGATGGTGTCTTTTTACCCTGCCCAAAGAAGTTTATTTACTTAATTTTCAGTTGTGAACTTTGTTAATCTTGTTTTCATGTAGGTTCACACTTTTTATGAGGCAGTTGGATACATGATCAGTGCACAAACTGTAAGTGAATTCTTTTTGAGAACTGCTTCATGTGTTTTGTATGTTATAGGAACTCAAAGATGTTTCAGAAACAGTAAATTACTAATTATGTGTTGTATTCCTTGCAGGATTCAGTTGTCATGGAGAGACTGATTGAGAAGTACATGTCACTTCCAAACCAAGCGTGGGACAACATTGTCAAAGAAGCAACAAGGGTAAGCAGTTCTGAACCAAAAAGCTGGTTTGTCCAGAGTAGTTTGGCAAGAATTGGTTCAGTCAAGACTTGTTATATGGTATTTTAGTTTAAATCTACTAGCATTCTACCATGAATGGCATTCTCCGATTGGCTACGCCACTCACTGTTTATTCTGATGTAAGTAGTGAGTAGCGTAACACTGAGCACTTGTTAACAAACTGGTGTCCGCTTCTTTGCATTTTCGAAGTGTGTGTGAAGAGGATTTGGTAGATAAAGATTTGAATGACTAGTAAATTTATACTAAAACAATTAAATTATTCGCTCTCAATTTCGATGCAGGATAGAAATCTTGAGCTCATAATCTAATTGTTATATACATATGGCATTCTTTTAGTCAGAGTTCTTTGAAAATGATTTGATTTATTTTCTCTTTTGTACAGAATATTGATCACTTAAGAGACATTGAAGTTGTCAAACAGCTTGGAAACATACTGAAAACAAATGTCCAAGGCTGCAAATCTATTGGACACCCATTTGTTACTCAGCTTGGCAGAATATATCTGGACATGCTCAATGTATACCGCTGTCTCAGTGAAAACATTTCTGTGGCAATAGCTGAAAATGGCGAGATTGTCACAAAACAGCCACTTATCAGGGCAATGAGAACAGTGAAAACAGAAACACTAAGATTGATATCAACATGGGTTAGCAAGTCAAATGATGCAAAACTTGTCTGTGATAACTTCATTCCTCCATTACTGGATGCAGTGCTTGGTGACTACCAAAGAAATGTACCAAACGCTCGAGAGCCTGAAGTCCTTAGTACCATGGCAACTTTTGTCAACAAGTTAGAGGTTTGTGCGTATTGCATAGTACACTTCCTCTGATCTACCAAGACAGACACAGAGTTCATGTCACGGTGTTCTCCGACTTCTGTCTGGCATCTGAGTTCATAGTTCAAATTCTTACTGGCATAATTTTGTTAAGCTATTTTCTTGCTGTCATCATCAAGCAGTATTTTGCCTGGCATTTTTCAGTGGGTTTGTGTGATGGTACAATGGCATGTGCCATCTTTGGCAAACTGTGTGAGTTGTAGTGACCACATAACACGCCAGTACAAGTATGTTTCCGTCAAAGGCTAATATAAATTGTGGAGATAGCTGCCAGCCTTGGATTCACTGGCACCTTCAGACTTGAATCTTGTTTAAAACCATGCTGATTCTTACGTGGCACATCAATGACACACATTACAACTGTGTTGTAATCATTCATTAATATTTGACCTTCAGAGAAATGTGACAGAACATATTCCAAAGATATTCGATGCAGTGTTTGAGTGCACCCTAGAAATGATCAACAAGGTTAGTAAAATCTTTGTACTTTCTTTGTACGTCACTACCAGCAAAAGTAATACTAGTGTCATCGGCGTACATCCTTGGTTGGGAATGCTGGAGGCAATTAGGCAAATCATTTATATACAATAGAAAT